GAATTCGATCAAAAGTGCTGTATTGTCAGAAGTTAAAGCAAATGTAAATACAGGATTCTTTTTCAGTCCTGGTTCAGCACCTATAGCTCCAATTATAGGTGATTCAAGTTCATTTTATGTCTATTACTCAGTATAGACATCAAATTAGCTGATGGTTTAGAAGGTTTCAAGTACAGGTACTCCTATTGGAGCTGCTATTGATACTAAATAAGCTGGTAGACCTTTCGATATTGTATCTACAGGATTTGGTTTCGTAGTAATGGCAGCAGATTCAACTTAAAGAGCTTTTATATAAGCCATAAACAAAGACGGATCTTAGAGATGGTTAAGAATACTAATTAACAATGGAGATAAACCAAACAGCCCAAAAGATTAGATTGAATTTTTCTCAAATGATAAATGTGAATTACCTTTTGGAATGACTTGTATGTATAATCCTCATAATGGTAGACTTAACTATGCAAGAGGAAAAATTTAAGCAATTTGGGCACATTATAATCACTTTGGATTTAAAGATGACGGAAGTAGAAATGATCACACAGGAGACACAATGATTAGCCTAGATGCTGATACAGGATATAATTAGAATATCTTTTGGAGTTGGGCTACTTCTCATTCTTTATATTAAGATATGCATTATGATGGATAGAATTTATATGTTGCTTCTCTTGGTGATGCTTTCCCAATGAATGTTAACTTTTAGGTTTGTAATATAGATACTTATCAATGTAAAAGTAGTAGCAAAATAGTTTAAGGAGATATACCCGGTAATGGTGGCGGTTCTTCATCAGGTAGAATTGGTGGTTTCTTTAGCATTATAGGAAACAGAAATCAAAAGCTATTTGTTTACTAGAGAAAGGCATCCAACGGAGGATACAGCGGATCTGTCTCAACAAATACAGTAAATGAACTTGCTGTAATTAAGTTTGATTCTTAGCTGAACTATATTTCAACTACAACTCTTTTGAGTGGTGATGTAGCTTCTAGAGTAAATAGTATAAAATCAGTACCCTATGGAAAAAATATTTTACTTGCTTACACAGTTATTCCTTCTTCTGAAGTTTAAAATTTCAACCGTTAAAATAGCAATAACAAAGTAGACTAAGCTTATATTGCTTTATTAAGTGGTGCTGATGGATCATTTTTAGTATAACCAACCTAACTATCTACCTTCCAAATAAATTCTTCTGATGATTGGAGAATACTAGAAAATGGAAGCATTGTTTATACATATATAGACAACAGTAATAATTTAAATATTTACTACACACCTTCACTTACAATTCCTAGTTATCCAAATCCCATTCTACCAAATGATAGCATATATGGTTTTGGTAGCTTTACAAATAGTTAATTGAAAGCCCCTGTAAATAACTACAACAATGTTTGTGTTAAGTAAGGTGATTCAAATTGGAGTATTGTAGACTTTAGCAATAATCCTTCAAACGGCAATAATCCATGTGTCTCAGGTAGCAATTAAACTAGTGATTGTATCTCTATCTCATATAAAAAAATCATCAATAGCTTGTGTATATTTTTAATAATGATAACATTCCTATTCTGATAAAACTCAATTTCAGAAAAGTTTGATGTTTATAATTAATTTGTTTTATTTGATAGAAACAAATATTAATTGATATAAAAATATTATTTAGTAAATAATTTTAAATATTTTGTTTAGCTCTTTGTTAAATATTTAATAAAAATGTTTCCATTTTTATTTTATTAAAACTATTTCTCATTTTTATTTTTGTGATTTTATATCTATTGCTATCCTCTAACAATAATTACTAAGGTAGGAAATATATATTTAATAAAATAATAAATATTATTTTATAAATTAAAAGAAAGTTTAAAATAATTAAAAAAGGTACCAAATTAGGTTTAGAACCTGAATAAACAAAAAAAATCTTTTTTTTATAAAAACATTTATTAAAGCCAGTAAGTGAGACATCTAAACTGAAATCGAGGTAGCCTTAACATATGAATCTTTCCAGTATATAAAATTAAATATTCAATCTTAAATTATATAATCTAAATGAATTCTTAGGTTTTTTTTCAGCTTTTCATTCATTTGAATTATTAATTTTAACCCTCTTTTCAAAATAAAATTTAAATTATTTTAATTTTCAGTTTTTTCTTCTCAGTTTTCTTTTTTTGATAATAAATAAACATGTTATAACTTAAAGAGATATCATTATTTTAAAGAAATAAAAGCAATATAAATTGGTTCACAGTTTATTTGGATATTCTTATATAAGAAGAAAAAAGATAAATTGCTGTTATTAGTGTAAAATAATCACTTTTAAGTGATAGTCTATAAAATTAGATGCTAATCATTGATAAAATTATCTTAATAGCTAACAAAATAAATAATTTAATTCTAGCTTCAAAATATTCAGCTATTATTAGTGAAAATAATATCTTTTATAATCTAAAAACTTAAATGATAACCATTGATAAGTTAATGAAATTATCTTAATCACTAGCAAATAAATTAAATTATGCTTAATATGCATTCAAATTAATAAAAGCTTAAGAATTCAAGCCATTATCATTTGTAACAAATTATCTATCAAATATAATAAAAACTAACTCTACAATATGTATTTAATATAAGTTATGATATTGCTTATATAATCTGAAAATTATGTAGGTTTAAGTTTTATTAAATTTCAAAATACTTAAATAATTTTATTGTTAAAGACATTTAAATATACTATCTGTATTTGTAAAAAATAAAATTTATTCATAACAAATAATCAAAGTTAAGTATGAAAACTTTAATTTCAAATATCTATCCTTGTATATTTTTTTTTAGATTTGAATGTAACAATCATATTTAGAATATAAAAAAATTTGTCCTAATTTACTTAAAATTAATTTGACATCAGTAATTAAATAAAGTTTAGTTTTTGGTAATTAAAAATGTAATTTGTGCAAATATCACTAGCTTGATAGGAATAATTTAATGAATAGAAATCGTATGCAAAAAAATTAATTTAAATTGAAATCAATTCTTTTGGGTTATATTTTTAATTTCCAAAATGTAAAGATACTTTCCACATCCTTTCACCCATAACTTTACTTATAATAAAGATACTTTGATAATATAAATATTTATTTACTCCAATATTAAAATTAAACTATAACTCAGATCATATTTTCTCTTTTATATATTCTTATTGAGTATAAATGAAAACCTGATAAAAAATTTTTTTAAATCAAGCAACTCTCTTTCTTTAACATAGAAAAATTTTTAAATTATCTCAAATTTTTAATAATTATTTTTCTAAAGCTGCTCTTTCATAAGATTTATATGGAATTGTTTGATTCTTTACGGTTTCAAACATTAATAGATTACATATATATCATGTAAGTTGTAAGCTTGAAATTTAATTTATGTTTTGATTATTAGTATTATTAAGTAAATAGTAAGTTATTTGTTATCAATCCTTAAATTAAATTATGATTCTTGCAATTTTCATAAATTAATTATTGGCTTACTGATATTTTGTTGGTTATTTCCAGATAATCTTTTTAAATATTATGGATAATATTTTAAATCTTTATATAAATATATTAAAATGTATTATTTTATTAGAATTATTAAGTATTTATGATTACTACATCAAAAATAAATGTGGAGGAAATTTATTCTTTTTTAATTTTAGATAAAATTTTAATATTCAATAAGATTTATTTAAAAACCATCAATTAATAATTTAGAAAAAATTGAAATTTTTAGCTCAAGTAACATTCAAATAAATTGATAATTCGGATAGGTATTTTATATAATTTAACTGAATTTTAATAAAATATGTGATATAAATAAAACATTTTTAAATGAATGTGAAAAAATAATGAATTAATAGAATCTAAAAAGAATATGCTTACAAAATTTTATTATTAAATATATTTTTAAAATAATACAATAATTAAATATTCCTGTTTAATAGGGATAATGGTCTCATTTTTAAATGTGATTCTACATATAATTATCAAAATTAAGCTTTACAAGATTATTATTTAAAATGAATAAAATATACACTGCCATATAACTTGATTATCATCAAACATCCTAAAATAAACGAATTTATTTTTAAATTTATTACTGAGGCAATAAACATTAATTGTATTTTTTATTCTAATTTAAATGAAATTTTATATTAAAAATAGTTAATAAAATTATTTAATTGAATATCAACATAGATATTTAATATGTAAAAGTGATCTAATTAATATTATGAATTTCCTTTTTAAATGTTCATTTTATATTTTCTTAGTATATTTAACTTAATGGATGTATATTAATTAGAAAAAATTTCAATTAACTTTTCTAGGATAAGATTAAAATTAATTCCTTAATTCTTCTTATTTCAGTAATTAGCTAATTTGGAAAAGAATAATTTTACTTGAATTAAAAAAAATTAGGTTTTCATCTAATTAAAAACTAATCAAATATTTAATTTGAGAAATTATTGCTATACTTTCAACTCATACCTTATTAATTTACTGAAGCAATTTTAGGAAAGATAATTTAATTACTTTCTAGCTCCATGTAATAACATTTAAATATCTTAGATCTTTGAGATATTTTTTATTTCATAATTAGGATATACAATACTTAAAAGTATAATATTGTAAAATTGAGTTAAGTTCTATTCAAAAAATATTTGCTATATGCTCGATTTCAAAGATAAAATATTATTACACTTTAAATTATTAATTAAAGTCAAGAACTTTCTTCACTGGTAATATTAATATTAAATTTTTTATTGACGTAATTGATAATTCAGCTTGTTAATTCAAATCTGTAAACAAGTTTCTAATTACCATATTAAAAATTTTCTTTTAAAAACCACATATTTAATTAGCTATTTTATTTAATTGACAGATGTATTTCTTGAATCTAATTTTGTATAAAACCAAAACAATTTTTCATGTTTTTATAAATAATAAATAAATAAAATAACTAAATTATTAATTCAGAAAAACTAATGTAACTGAAACTCAGTTTAATTTTGCTTCTTCTTTTCTTTGCTAATAGTATTAATGCTCTTAGCAAATGCTAATGTACTGTAGATTCTTCTTCTTTTCCAGGTTCTAGTACTGCTCCACCTGCATCTCTTACTTTCTCATCTGAAAACGAAGTTGTTGGAAATACAGATGTAGGAAAACTTATTGCTGTAGGCTCTATTCAAGTACTATAATAAGTTTTTTAAGTTTAAAAGCAATCTAGTGAAGGACTTAATCACAATTGCCCCACAGGATATATTCCTCTTACTAAAGATGACTTTATTGTCATAATAGGAAGAACTGATATAAATTCTTTAGTTGGATCAACATACTTAAATCTTGATTTCTCAAAAAATGTTTACTATTCTTCTTCTAAGGTAAACTAAACAGCTACTGACGGTGGTGACAATAATTCATATATCTACTTTACTTTATCTTTAGATTAAAATAATAAATTTGCTATTGGTAATTCAAACACGTACTGGGAATCGAAAGTAAAATCTACTATTTGCAAAAGGAATTTGTAGTCGTTTTCTATTTCTCTAAATGGGTATGAAGGTTTCGATTTAGAAAAAGGAAAATCATACTAAATGCAAATTACTAACAAAAACGTTTAGCAATATTACATTTATGATAACAATGGAAATAAATTTACTACTTAAACCTTCACTTATACTCATAATGGAGATTCTTAATGGGGATGCGCTACACTTAACTTCAAGCTCTAACTTTTTGGGGGAGTTATCGTTGGTCAATGTCTAACGATTTGGACTTAAAACCAGATTGCCTTTAATGCTGATTCTAGCAGTTTCAATATGAATTCAATCAAAACTGCTGTCTTGTCAGGAGTTAAAGCAAATGTAAATACAATATACTTTTTCAGTCCTGGTTCAGCACCTATAGCTCCAATTATAGGTGATTCAGGTTCCTTTTATGTCTATTACTCAGTACAGACATCGTTTTAGATGATGGTTTAGAAGGTTTCAAGTACAGGTACTCCTATTGGAGTTGCTATTGATACTAAATAAGCTGGTATACCTTTAGATATCGTATCTACTGAATTTGGCTTCGTAGTGATGGCATAGGATTAAACATAAAGAGCTTTCATATAAGCCATAAACAATGATGGATCTTAGAGATGGTTCAGAATACTAATTAACAATGGAAATAAACCAAACAGCCCAAAAGATTAGATTGAATTTTTCTCAAATGATAAATGTGAATTAGCTTTTGGAATGACTTGCATGTATAACCCTCATAATGGTAGACTTAACTATGCCAGAGGAAAAATTTAAGCAATTTGGGCACATTATAATCACTTTGGATTTAAAGACGATGGAAGTAGAAATGATCATACTGGAGACACAATGATCAGCCTAGACGCTGATACAGGATATAATTAGAATATCTTTTGGAGTTGGGCTACTTCTCATTCTTTATATTAGAATATGCACTATGATGGAAAGAATTTATATGTTGCTTCTCTTGGTGATGCTTTCCCAATGAATATTAACTTTTAGGTTTGTAATATAGATACTTATCAATGTAAAAGTAGTAGTACTATAGTTTAAGGAGATATTCCTGGTGATGGTTAAGGTAACTCATCAGGTAGAATTGGTGGTTTCTTTAGCATTATAGGAAACAGAAATCAAAAGCTCTTTGTTTACTAGAGAAAGGCAAGCTAAGGAGAACATGACGGAGCTGTCTCAACAAATACAGTAAATGAACTAGCTGTACTTAAGTTTGATTCCTAGCTGAACTATATTTCAACTACAACTCTTTTGAGTGGTGATGTAGCTTCAAGAGTAAATAGTATAAAATCAGTACCCTATGGAAAAAATATTTTACTCGCTTACACAGTTATTCCTTCTTCTGAAGTTAAAAATTTCAACCGCTAAAACTGCGATAACACAGTTGATTAAGCTTATATTGCTTTATTAAGTGGTGTTGATGGATCATTTTTAGTATAACCAACCTAATTATCTACCTTCCAAATAAATTCTTCTGACGACTGGAGGATACTAGAAAATGGAAGCATAGCTTATACATATATTGACAACAGTAACAATTTAAATATTTACTACACACCTACACTTAAAATTCCTAGTTATCCAAATCTCATTCTACCAAATGATAGCATATATGGTTTTGGTAACTTTACATATAGCTAATAGGAAGTCCCTATAAATAACTACAACAATGTTTGTGTTAAGTAAGGTGATTCAAATTGGAGTAATGTAGACTTTAGCAATAACTCATCAAACGGTAATAACCCATCAAGCGGAAATAACCCATCAAATGGCAATAACCCATCAAACGGCAATAACCCATCAAATGGCAATAACTCATCAAACGGCAATAGCCAATCAAATGGCAATAACCCGTCAAACGGAAATAACCCATCAAATGGCAATAATCCATGCATCTCTGGTAGTAAATAAACTGGTGATTGTATCTCTATCTCATATAAAAATATCATTAATAACTTATGTATATTTTTAATAATTATAGCTTTCCTATTCTGATAAAATTTAATTTTAGAAAAGTTTGATGTTTATAATTAATTTATTTTATTTGAAGGAAACAAATATTAATTGATATAAATATATTATTTGTAAAAAATATTAACTGTTTTATTTAGTTTTATGTTTTTATAATAAAAATTTTCCATTTTTATTTTATTAAAACTATTTCTAATTTTTATTTAATTTTGTGATTTCATATTTTATTTCTATTATCTAATAATAATTTCTTATGTAGGAAATATATAATTAATAAAATAAGTAAGTTTAAAATAATAAAAAGGGTATCGAAATAGGTTTAGAACCTATATTAACAAAAAAATCTAAATTAAAAAAAAATTTTTCATTTTAGAATTTATGATTTTTATTTTTCTTAGAAGGGATTTATAATAAAAAATTTTGGATTACTTTTTATTTACTATCTTATGAAAATAAAATAATCAAATTAATAAAATTAATATAGTATAAGCTTTATTTGTTTGATATTTTAAGAGTAAAAGTTTGATGACATTTTTTACTTTATTTGGCAATTACTGCTTCTATTTTCAAAATTTTTAGACATTGTTAGTGTAAAATAAATGCTTTTAATTATTAGTCTATTAAACTAAATGTTAATCATAGATAAATTAATAAAACTATCTTAATAGCTAACAAAATAAATAATTTCATTCTAACATAAAAATCTTTAGATGTTATTAGTAAAAATAATCCCTTTTAGGTGATAATCTACATAATTGAATTTTAATCATTGATAAATTAATAAAATTATTTTAATAACAAACAAATTAATTAAACTTTTTCTAATGTGAATTAAAGCTATAATATTTAAGTCAATCCTATCATTTGTAACTAATTACATCAAAAATTATAAAAACTAAGCTATACAATTCGTACTTAATAATAGTTTTGATACTGCTTTTATCTGAATATTGTGTAGTTTTTAAGATTTATTGAATTTCTAAGTACTTAAATATTTATTTTAAATCTAAAGATATTCAAATGTATTATTTAATATCTATAAATATTAAAATTTATTGATAAAAAATAAGCTAAGTTAAGTATTTGCCTTTTAGTTTCAAATATCTACCTTATATATATATTTGATTTGATTTGAATGTAACCATCATATTTATAATATAAAAAAATAATTAATCTGGGAAAAAATCTAACAATCAAATTAAAAGCACACTTAAATTCACTTCAATAATTAGATAAAATTCAGTTTATGGCTAATAAAAATTTACTGAATTAGTGCAATTAATTTGGTAGGATTAATTTAATATTGATTTTAAGCGATAAAATACAAAATTGAATGCTAATGAATGATTGATAAATTAATAAAATTATCTTAATAAAGAACATATTAATTAAATTCTTTCTATACTTTAGAATTCAAGCCAGTCTTATCATATGTAACAAAATATCTATCAAAACTTATAAAAACTATATTATAAATTCCCTATTTAATAATAGTTAAGATATTGATTTTATCTGAAATTTTGTAGTTTTTAAGATTTATTGAATTTCTAAGTACTTAAATATTTATTTTAAATCTAAAGATATTCAAATATATTATTTGTTATCTTTAAAAATTAAAATTTATTACCACCATTGAGCTAAGTTAAGTATGTGCCCTTTATTTTCAAATATCTATTCTTATTTATATTTTATTTGATAAGAATGTAACAATCATGTTTAAAATAAAAAAAATTATCCCTAATTTACTTAAAATTAATCTGGGAAAAGATCTAACAACCAAATTAAAAGCGCACTTATATTGGCTTCAATATTTAGATAAAGTTCAGTTTATAGTAATTAAAAATTTACTTAATTTCTATAATTAACACTGATTAATTTAATTAATAGAAATTTAAGATCATTCATTTAAAATTCAAGCTACTATGAAATCAATCATTTTTAGGAACACCTTCAAACTTCTAAATGCTAAAATTCTTTTCGCATCCTTCTTACCTTAAATTTACTTCTGTTAAATATGTTTTGTTAATATAAATATTATTTATCCCAATTTCTTAATACATAATTAGCTATTAAAATTAAATCATGTCTAATTAGTTATAACCTTGAACTGAATTTATGATTTTGATGATTACTATTACTAAATAAAATAATAAATTATTTACCATCAGTGATTAATTAAAATATGACTTTTGTAATTTTTATAAACTCACTATTGGCTTACTTAAATGTAATAATAATTTTTTTAAAATTAATGGAAAATAAATATTTTAATTTAATATATAAATATATATTTAAAAAGTGTTATTTTATTAGAATTATTAAGTATTTTTGATTATTATTTCAAATTATAATAGTGATTTATTTTTTATTAAGTTTATTAATGGAAATAGTTATTGAACTATTAATTTAGATTTGAATAAAATCTTAATTTTATGAAAAACGTGGATGAAATTAATTCTTTTATTGTTTTAAATAAAATTTTAATGTGACTAAGACTTATCTAAAGGCCATCAATTTATAAATTACAAAATTCAGAAATTTTTATTTGAAGTAACATTCTAATAAATGGATAATTTAGATTAGTATTTTATATATTTTAAGGGAATATATATAAAAATTGTGACCTAAGTAAAACATATTAAACGCAGATGAATAAATAATGTGTTGATTGAATCTAATAAATAAGAATATGCTTACACAATTTTATAATTAAATATAGAATTAATATAATACAATAATTAAATGTTTTTGTTAAATAGGGATAATGATCTCATTTTAAATTTGATTTAATTAAAATTATTAAAATTAAGCTTTTAGGATGACTATTTGTATGATTTATTCTATTTCATAAGATTTATGATTAAAAGCATATTCTATTTCAAATTGAATACTTGAATATTTACTTTGAGATAGGTGTCTCACCTAATCAGTTAGTCTACAAATAAAAAAATAAATTAAATATTTTAAGCCTTTAAAAACCAAAATATATGCTTAGATACAATAAAATTTACACAACCTTATCTTCATTAATTTTGAAATTTCAATCAATTATGTTTTTCATGAAATCAACAGAAATTTTATTCTAAAAGTAGTGTATTATACCTCAAATAATTGAAAAATAAATACATTTTAAGTACTTTTATTATTATTTTGAATTTCAATAAGGCAAATAATGTGAATTAAAAAAAATTTCAATTAATTTTTCTAGCATTACAGAAAAATCGACTCCTTAGTTTCTCTTAAACTAGTAATTATAATTTAGAAAATAATAACTTAACTTGAATAAAAGAAAATTAGGTTTTTTATCTTTTAAAATTAATCAAATATTTAATTGAAATACTATAACTATTTTTTCCACTCATTGCTTAGTAATTTACTCAAGATATTTTATTTCATGTAATCTATAATTTTCTAGCTTAATGTAATAACATTTAAATACCTTAGATTCGTTTGAGATATCTATTATTTCATAATCAGGATATGAAGGATTTAAAAAAATATGGTTTGTAAAGTATTTTCTTTACTTTTTAACATTTACTTAAGAATATTTATTTAGTAGAATTTTATGCTTTATTCAAAAAATATTAGCTTTATTCTCAATATCTAAGATAAAATCTTACTTAACCTTTAAATTATTAACTAAAATCATGATTGAATTTTGCTCACTGATAAAATTAACATTAAAATTTTTACTGATGTAATTGATAATTCAGCTTCTAATATTCGAATCTGTAAACAAGTTTTTAATTTATCATATCATAATTTTGTATTATCATTTATTTAATTATCTATTTTAATTAATTGATAGATTAATTTTAAATTTTGTATAAAACCAAAACAGATTTTCATTTTATTATAAATTATAGTAAAAAAATAAAATAACTAAACCATTAATTAAGAAAAATTAATGCAATTCAAGCTCAATTTATTTTTGCTACTACTTTTCTTTGCTAATAGCATTTATGCTCTTAGCAAATGCTAATGTACTATAGATTCTTCTTCTTTTCCAGGTTCTAGTACTGCTCCACCTACGTCTCTTGTTTTATCTGCTGATAATGAAATTGTTGGAAATACAGATGTAGGAAAACTTATTGCTGTAGGTTCTATTCAAGTCCTTCAGTAAATTTTTTAAGTCGAAAAGCAATCAATTACAGGACTTAATCACAATTGCCCTTCTGGATATATTCCTCTTACAAAAGATGATATTACTACCATAATAGGAAGATCTGATATAATTTCTTTAGTTGGATCAACATACTTAAATCTTGATTTCACAAAAAATGTTTACTATTCTTCTACTAAAGTAAACGCAACAGCGACTAACGGTAGTGATAATAATTCATATTTCTACTTTACTTTAACTTTAGATAAAAATAATAACTTTGCCATAGGTAATTCAAGCACACACTGGGAATCTAAAGTAAAATCTACTATTTGCAAAAGGTCTTTATAGTCGTATTCTGTTTCTCTAAATGGCTATGAAGGTATCGATTTAGAAAAAGGGAAATCCTACTAAATGCAAATTACTAATAAAAATGTTGAGCAATATTACATTTATGATAATAATGGAAACAAATTTACCACTTAAACCTTCAATTATACTCATAATGGAGATTCTTAATGGGGATGCGCTACACTCCACTTCAAGCTATAACTCTTTGGTGGAGCTATTGCTGGTGATTGCCTTGCAATTTGGACTTATAATCAGATTGCCTTTAATGCCGATTCTAGCAGTTTCAATATGAATTCAATCAAAACGGCTGTCTTGCCAGGGATCAAAGCAAATATAAACAATGCATTCTTTTTCACTCCTGGCTCAGCTCCTATAGCTCCAATAATAGGAGACTCAAGTTCATTTTATGTCTGCTACTAAGTTTAGACATCAAAATAGTTGATGGTTTAGAAGGTATCAAGTACAGGTACTCCTATTGGAGCAGCTATTGATACTAAATAAACTGGGAGACCTTTCGATATAGTTTCTACAGAATTTGGCTTTGTGCTAATGGCAGCAGATTCAACTTAAAGAGCTTTCATATAAGCCATAAACAAAGATGGATCTTAGAGATGGCTTAGAATACTAATTAACAATGGAGATAAACCAGACAACCCAAAAGATTAAATTGAATTTTTCACTAATGAAAAATGTGACTTACCATTTGGAATGAATTGCATGTTCAATCCTCATAATGGTAGACTTAACTATGCTAGAGGAAAAATTTAAGCAATTTGGGCTCATTATAATCATTTTGGAAAGAATGGTGATGGAGGTAGAGATGATCACACTGGAGATACAATGATCAGCTTAGATGCTGATACAGGATATGATTAGAATATCTTTTGGAGTTGGGAAACTTCTCACTCTTTGTATTAGAATATGCACTATGATGGATAGAACTTATATGTTGCTTCTCTTGGAGATGCTTACCCAATGAATATTAACTTTAAAGTTTGTAATATTGATACTTTTTCATGTAAGGGAAGTAGTACTATAGTTTAAGGAAATATTCCAGGTGATGGTTATGGTGACGCATCAGGTAGAACTGGTAGTTTCTTTAGCATTATAGGAAACAGAAATCAAAAGCTATTTGTTTATTAGAGAAAGGCAAGCAAAGGAGGACACAATGGATCTGTCTCAACAAATACAGTAAATGAACTTGCTGTACTTAAGTTTGATTCCTAGCTGAAATATATTTCAACTACAACTCTTTTGAGTGGAGATCTAGCTTCTAGAGTAAATAGTATAAGATCAGTACCATATGGTAAAAATATTTTGCTTGCTTACTCAGTTATTCCTTCTTCTGAACTTAAAAATTTCAACCGTTAATACAGCGATGAGAAAGTAGACTAAGCTTATATTGCCTTGTTAAGTGGTGTTGATGGATCATTTTTAATAGAACCATAATAATTACCTGCCTTCCAAATAAATCCTGCTGATGACTGGAGAATACTAGAAAATGGAAGCATTGTTTATACATATATAGACAAAAATAACAATTTAAATATCTACTACACTCCTGCAATTACAATTCCTAATTATCCAAATCCGATTCTACCATATGATAGCATATATGGTTTTGGTAATTTTACAAATACATAATTGAAAACCCCTTTAAATAATTACAACAAAATTTGTGTTAAGTAAGGTGATTCAAATTGGAGTATTGTAGACTTTAGTAATAACCCATCAAACAGTAATAATTAATGTGTTTCTGGTAGCAAGTAAACTAGTGATTGTATCTCTATCTCATTTAAAAATAGTTTCAATAGCTTCTGTATATTTTTAATGATAATAACATTCCGTTTCTGATAAAACTCTATTTCAGAAATGTTTAATATTTATAATTAATTGCTTTATTTGGTAATAAATGATATGAAAAATAAAACTTTTGTTTTTAAATTTTAGCTGTTTTTTTTAAAATAATAAAAAATGTTCCATTTCTATTTATTAAAACAATTTCTCATTTTATTTTTGTAATTTCATTTATTGTACTTTTTAAAATGTTGAATTTTTAAACTAAACTATTAGAAAATAAGGATAAAATCCAATTATTTAACTAAAATAATACAATGATGGATTATTTCATTTTTTTAAAATAAACATTTCTTGATTTAATTAAAAGGCAATATTAGAAAAATAAGGTTTTTTTTAAAATTTGAATTTTTTGAAAGCCATAAGAGTTTTTTAAGTAAAATAATAATTAATACATACAGACAGAGCCAACTATATTCTCCATGCATTAATTCAATATGGCTCATCAAGGTAAAAATAACATAATCATTTTAAAATAATCAAATAAAAATAATCTAATTTAAAATTTGAAATTAATCAAATTAAGATAATTATTTAATGTCTATAGATTATAAAATAAGAGAAATGTTAAATAATAATTATATATTTATATAGTACCCTAAGGTACTGCCTTTTTTCAAGGCTACATACATGAATAATAATAAGATTTATTTTGAAAAGACTTCTATTTAAATTTTTATGATTTAAGATTTACATTCTCACCTCTTCAAAGTATAAGCTATTTTATAAATAATATTAATAATAATAGATAAAAATATTTAATATAAGAACTATAACCACCAATTTTATTGGATGTTAATTATTTTCAAAATTTAAAAATTATTTTAAAAAATAGACTTAAATATTAAATCAGAGAAATATTTTTAATCAAATCCACTTAAACATATTAATAATCTCAAAATTAAAAAAAAATTTAATTCTGTCTTACTAAAGTTTCTAGATGATGCAAGTGGTTACTTTTTTTATCTTTTATTTTTTTAAGTAAATAGATAAAAATGTAAAAATAAGCTATCTAATTAATGGTTATTAATGTAGAATGTATTTTTTTGAAAGATTTAAATTTATGTGTGAGTATATATTATTTTCAAATTCAATACAAATATCAATATAATTTATTTTTATTTTATATAAATTATCTATTTCTAATTCTTACAAGATTAAAAATTATCTAATGGCAAATTTTAGGTGTTATCTCAAAATAATTTATTTGGTTATACTTGTAAAAAATTTTATTAGTACTTACTTTTAGAACTCTATTGGCTAATTAACTTAAAGATTAAGTATATTAGATACCATTTTTCTATCAAATATTCCAAATTTTTTATTATTTAAAAAAAGTTAAATACTATTGACATTTTCTAAAAGTTTTATTAAAAAAAAATAAGTTTTAGATGTTTCTTTTAAATATATATATTTGAGTTCCAATAATCATTTTTAAAGAAATCTTTTGTGGTTGTGGCAATATATTTGATTATAATTAATGTTTAATTAATTAGAATTAATCATGTTTAAAGCATATGTTATAAACCTCCATTTTTAGAATTAATTTCAATCAATTAGCATAAAATTTTATTGAACTTTTAGAATCAATCTAATTTTATATAATTTTTATTTAATCTAAAATAAAATATATCATTCATGAAAATTTCAAGTTTTATACTAATAATTAGGCTTAAAAACACATAATTTTAAGAACAAAAGTCTCTCTTTCTCTAAATATTTTAAATATAATTTTAGAAATAAGAAAAAACATTTTAGAATTCTTTTAATGAGAATCTAATTTTTTTTTTCCTTTAAATTCTTTAAATAAAATATTGCTTTGAGCATCATAAGCTTGAGATTTTTAGATATTTTATATTAACTATAACTTATATTATTAATAATAAATATAAATTGCCATCAATTTTATAAATTAAATAAGATTTTTGAAATTTTCTGAAATGAATTTTAAATAAAGGTAATTAAGGGAATACATATTTAAAGATCTAAGTGTAGAATATTAAATATAATTAAAGTAGATTATTTATCTAAATTATTAATGCAAAATTTTCTTGTAATAATTTTAGTATTTTATAAAAAAAATTAATCTAATTTTAATTTTATCTGATATAAAAACTATAAATGTTAAAAACAATATAAAATAATGTTAAATTCGTCCAAAAATAATTGTTATCTTTTGGTAAATAAATAGATTATTTTAAAATTAAATTTAATATGTCTCATTTACTGAATATATATATAATCTATTATAATATTTATAATATTATTCTTGAAAAAAAAGGAAAAAGTTTAAATACAAATAACTCAGCCTTCATTATATAATATTCTAATTAAAATATTTTTAAATAAATATTGATATTTTATTTTTATTTTAATCAGTAAATATAATAAAAAACTTATTTAATAGTATTTTTTCTGCATTTGAATTTTATTTAAATATATAAACTATCTGCACATCTAATTTTTTTTTTAATTTAAATTTTAAATTTGATTTAATATATTGTATCTTATCAACACAAAAAAATTACAGTAAAACACTCAAAAAGCTTTAATAAACACAAAATGTTTTAAGAATTAATCTATGTAAAATAATTAAATCAGTATTTTTTATCCTTATTATAAAATCATCCTTAATTAAATTCCTCTTATACTATAGAATTGACGGTATATCAGCTAAAATTTGACATTTAAGTAGTAAAAGAATAATATAAAATTTTCACTTCATGTTTATTTTAGAAATTGTGCTTATTTGTTTTTCTTCTAGGATTTTTAATAAAAATATTTATTACTATTTATTTATTTAGTATTTTATGAAAAATAAAATAGTCTAATTAATAAAATTAATATTGTATTAATCTTCACTTAATTAATATTTTAAGAGTAAAAATTTTATGAAATTTAAATTTCTATTTTATTTTGTAATTATTATTTCTATTTTTAAGAGCTTTAACTGGTGTTAGTGTAAAATAATCTATTTTAAGAGATAGTCTATAAAATTACATGCTAATCATTAAAAGATTAATAAAATTATCTTAATAGTTGACAAAATAATAAATTTCATTCTAATTTTAAGATCGTCAGTGTTATTAATCAAAATAATCGCTATTAGGCGATAGTCTACAAAATTGAATGTTAATCATTGATGAATTAATAAAATTATCTTAACAACTAATAAATTAATTAAGTTCTTCTAATAGGCATTAAAGTTTTAGAATTTAAGCCAAACCAATCATCTGTAACAAAATATCTATTAAATATTATAAGAACTAAATTATCCAATCCATATTTAATAATAGTTAAGATATTGCTAATATCTGAAAATTGTGTAGTTTTTATGATTTATTGAATTTCTAGTACTTAAATATTAATAGTAAATGTAAAGATGTTCAAATTTTTTATTTATTATCTTTAAATATTAAAATTTATTCATAACAAATGAGCAAAGTTAAGTATAAACCCTTTATAAGGATAGATTAGAATGTAAAAATTGTATTTATAATTAAAAAATTTACTTAAAATGAATCTGTGAAAAGAGCTAAATTTCAAATTAAAAGCATAGTCATATTCACTTCAATAATTAAATAAAGTTGAGTTTATGGTAATTAAAAATTTACTGAATTTTTACAATTAACAAAAGTTTGATAGGATTAATTTAATCAAAAGAAATTTAAGATCGTTCATGCAAAAAACTCTAGATACTATGAAATCAATCTTTATTAGTAACACCTTCAAACTTCTAAATGCAAATAAATTTTAACATCATTTTTCCCTTAAATTTACTTCTGATAAAGATGTTTTGCTAATATAAATATTTATTTACCCTCAATTTTTTAATACATAATTAGCTATTAAAATTCAATCTTATCATTCATGTAAGTTGTAAGCTTGAAATTTAATATGTGTTTTTGAGGATTACTATTATTAAGTAAAATTATAATTCATTTGTGATCAATCATTAAATAAAATATGATATTTCTAATTACCATAAATTAATAGTTTGATTTACTGATATTTCGTTGGCTATTTCCAAATAATCCTTTTAAATATAATAGATAATATTTTAAATGTATATTTAGAAATATTTTTTTATTAGAATTATTAAGTTTTTATTATTATTATTTTAAATTATAACAGGGCCTTGTCTTCTCTATAATTAATTAAAGGAAATAGATATTAAATTATTAGTTTTAATTTGAATAAAATCTTAATTTTAAGAAAAATATGGATGAAATTAATTCCTTTTTAATTTTAAATTAAGTTTTAATGCGATTAAGATTTATCTAAAAACCATCAATTAATAATTTATAAGATTTGAAAATTTTTAGTTCAAGTAACAATCAAATAAATGGAGAATTTGGATTGGTATTTTATATAACTAATGGAATATATTAACAAATATTGTGATCTAAATAAAACATTTTATATCCAAGTGAGTTAAAAATTCATGAATTGAATCTAAAAAGAATATGCTTACCAAATTTGATAATAATATAGATTTAATATAATATAATAATTAAATGTTCCAGTTAACTAAGGATAATGGCCACTCTTTAAAATAAGATAAAAATAACTAATAATTAGAATTAAGCTTTTTAAGATGAAATAGGTGACTCAAATAATCAGCTAGTCTACAAAAAAAAATAAATTAAATTTTTTAAAGTCTTTAAAAATAAAGATTTTTGCTATAGATAGAATAAAAGTTACACTACTATATCTTCATTATCATCAAATATTAAATTTAAAGTAACTGCGTATTCTAAAACAATAAATTTTTTTATTTCATTTATTTTTTTTATGAAATATTATTCTAAAAAAAGTTAATTATATCTCAAACAATTTAAAAAATAAATATTTTGTTTTTCAACATAGGTAAATAATGTGTTAAAGTGATTTGATTAATATTTTGAATTGCCTTTTTCTAAATTTTTGATGTGCATATTATATTTAGTAAGTAAGTAGATTAAATCAATGGATGTATATTAACTAAAAAAAAATTCAATTAATTTTTCAAGCATTAGAGAAAAATCGACTACTTAGTTTCTCTTAAACCAGTAATTAGCTAATTTAGAAAAGAATTACTTAACTTGAATAAAAGATAATCCGGTTTTTCATCTAATTAATCTAATTTTTAATTTAAAATACAGGAGCTAATTTTTCCACTCATTTCTTATTAATTTACTAAAGCTATTTTATTCCTATTAATTTAATTACTTTATTTATATCTTCATGTAATAACATTTAAATACTGTAAATCCTTTTGAGATATCTAATATTTGCCAATCAGAATATGTGAGATTTAAAAAATATAAAATTGTTTATAAAATATTTTGTTTATTTTTAAAATCCATTAATGAATATTATTTAGAAGAGTTTTATGCACTATTTAAAATTATCTACTTCATACTCAATATTAAATACAAAATCTTACTTAACTTTTAAATTATTAACTAAAGTTAAGATTGAACTTTGTTCACTGATATGATTAATATTAAAATTTTTATAGATGTAATAGATAATTCAGCTTGTAAAATTCAATTCTGTATACAAGTTTTTAATTTATCATTATTAAAAATCAATTATTTGTTTAGCTATTTTAATTAATTGATAGATCTATTTCTTTAATCTATTTTGTATAAAAACAAATCAGATTTTCATTTTATAAAAATTATAATAAATAAATAAAAATAATAAACTAAATTATTAATTAAGAAAAATTAATGTAATTCAAGTTCAGTTTATTTTTGCTACTTCATTTCTTTGCTAATAGCATTAATGCTCTTAGTAAATGCTTATGTACTGTAGATTCTTCTTCTTTTCCAGGTTCTAATACTACTCCACCTGCATCACTTGTTTTATCCTCTGATAGCGAAATTGTTGATAATATAGATGTAGGAAAACTTATTGCTGTAGGCTCTATTCAAGTACTCAAGTAAATTTTCTAAGTTTAAAAGCATTCTAATGCTGAACTTGGTAACAATTGTCCTTCTGGATATATTCCTCTTACTAAAGATGATATTACTACCATAATAGGAAGATCTGATGTAAACTCTTTAGTTGGACCAACATACTTAAATCTTGATTTCACAAAAAACGTTTATTATACTTCTACTAAGGTAAACGCAACAGCAACAAATGGTGGTGATAATCAATCATATGAATACTTTACTTTTTCTTTAGATAAAAATAATAACTTTACTATTGATAGATCAAACACATTCTGGGAATCTAAAGTAAGATCTACAATTTGTAAAAGAAGCTTTTAATCATTTACTGTTTCTCTAAATGGCTATGAAGGTTTCGATTTAGAAAAAGGGAAATCTTACTAAATGCAAATTACTAATAAAAATGTTTAGTAATATTACATTTATGATAATAGCGGAAATAAATTTACCTCTTAAACTTTCACTTATACTCATAATGGAGATCCTTTATGGGGATGCGCTACACTTAACTTCAAGCTATAGCTCTTTGGAGGAGTTATAGTTGGTGATTGCCTTGCAATTTGGACTTAAAATTAGATTGCTTTTAACGCTGATTCTAGCAGCTTTAATATGAATTCTATCAAAACGGCTGTCTTGTAAGGAGTTAAAGCAAATGCAAATACTAAATTCTTTTTCAGTCCTGGCTCATCACCCATAGCTCCAATTATAGGAGACTCAAGTTCATTTTATGTCTATTACTCAGTTTAGACTTCAAACTAGCTGATGGTTTAGAAAGTTTCAAGTACAGGTACTCCGATTGGAGCTGCTATTGACACTTAATAGGTTGGTTAACCTTTCGATATTGCCTCTACCGGATTTGGTTTTGTAGTAATGGCAGCAGATTCTACTTAAAGAGCTTTCATATAGGCTATAAACAAAGATGGATCTTAGAGATGGTTAAGAATACTTATTAACAATGGATTGAAACCAAATAACCCAAAAGATTAGATTAAATTTTTCACCAATGAAAAATGTGATTTACCATTTGGAATGGATTGCATGTATAACCCTCATAATGGTAGACTTAACTATGCTAGAGGAAAGATTTAAGCAATTTGGGCACATTATAATCACTTTGGATTTAAAGATGACGGAAGCAAAGATGATCACACAGCAGATACAATGATCAGCTTAGATGCTGATACAGGCTATAATTAGACTATCTTTTGGAGCTGGGGAACTTCTCACTCTTTGCATTAAAATTTGCACTATGATGGATAGAATTTATATGTTGCTTCTCTTGGAGATGCTTACCCTATGAATATTAACTTTTAGGTTTGTAATATAGATACTTATCAATGTAAAAGTAATAGCGCCATAGTTTAAGGAGATATACCTGGTAATGGTGGCGGTTGCGCATCAGGTAGAATTGGTGGTTTCTTTAGCATGATAGGAAACAGAAATCAAAAGCTATTCATTTATTAGAGAAAGGCAAGCAAGGGAGAACATGACGGAGCTGTCTCAACAAATACAGTAAATGAACTTGCTGTACTTAAGTTTGATTCCTAGTTGAAATATATTTCAACTACAACTCTTTTGAGTGGTGATGTAGCTTCTAGAGTAAATAGCATAAAATCAATACCCTATGGTAAAAATATTTTACTTGCTTACACAGTTATTCCTTCTCCTGATGTTCAAAATTTCAACCGCTAATACAGCGATAACAAAGTAGACGAAGCTTATATTGCTTTATTAAGTGGAGTTGATGGATCATTTTTAGTAAAACCAACCTAATTATCTACCTTCCAAATAAATTCTAATGATGATTGGAGGATACTAGAAAATGGAAGCATCGCTTATACATATATAGACAACAGTAACAATTTAAATATTTACTATACACCTTCACTTACAATTCCTAGTTATCCAAATCCTATTCTACCATATGATAGCACATATGGATTTGGTAACTTTACAAATATCTAATTGAAAGTCCCTGTAAATAACTATAACAATGTTTGTGTTAAGTAAGGTGATTCAAATTGGAGTATCGTAGACTATAGCAAAACCATATCAAGCGTAGCAATTGTATCAAGTAGTAATAATCCATCAAATGGTAATAATCCCTAAAATGGCAATAATCCCTCAAACGGAAATAATCCCTCAAACGGCAATAATCCCTCAAACGGCAATAATCCCTCAAACGGCAATAATCCATGTGTTCCTGGTAATAACTAAACTAATGATTGTATCACTTCATTTAAAAATATCATCAATAACTTGTGTATATTTTTAATAATGACAACATTCCTTTTCTGATAAAAACTTAATTTCAGAAATGTTTAATGTTTAAAATTAATTTGCTTTATTTGAAGCAAATACATAATAAATGATATAAAATATATTATTTTGTAAATTTATTTCTCATTTAGTTTAGCTCTTTATTTTATAAATAATAAAATCTTTTCCATTTTTATTTTATTCAATCTTTATTTTTGTGATTTTATATTTAGTACTTTTCAAAAAAATTGAAAACTAAACTGATGAATCAAATATTAACAAATAATAAAATTTAATTATAGCAAGATGCCATTCAAAAATTCTGTCGTTTGGAATTCACTTATTATGAAATAGATTTTTTAATTATTTATTAAAAAATCTGATTTTGATATTTTATAATAGAATTATAATTAATAATTTAATTTATTATAATTTCATAGATAAGTAATTTTTGTATATCGAAATTTTTAAATTTAGCTAAATTTTACTGTTAAATTTTCTTTAAAAAATTTAATATCCCTTTTTTTATAAAATATATGTATCATTTTGTTATATAGTCTATTTTTGAAAAAAATCTAAATTTTTAAAATTAATTTCAATTAAGAGATAATATAATTTATCTAATTATATTTCTTTGAAGGTTAAAAATTATCTAGAGATATATATATTAACAAAGTTATTTCAAAATAAATTATTTGATTACACTTGTAAAAAATTTTATTAGCAATTACTTTTAGAATTCTATCGACTTAATAACTTAAAGAATAAATTAAGTAAAAAAAATTTTTCTATCAAATATGATAAAAAAATTGAATAATTTATTATTTAAAACAGTTAAATACTATTGATATTTTCTAAAAGTTTTTAAAAAAAATAAGAATAAGATTTTTCAATAAAATAAAATACTTAAAATATTTTAAAGTTATTGTCGCATAATTTTTATCTTAGCTATTTGAATTCCATAATAATTTTTAATGAACTTTTTAGTGGTTTAAATTGTGGCAATAAGAGTGATTATAATTTGTGTTTATTTATTTAATTAATTAATTAGAAGTAAACAAGTTTAAAGAGTATGTTATGAACCTCAATTTTTAGAATTAAATTCAATAGATTGGGATAAAATTTTACTGAATTTTTAGAATCAATCTAATTTGATAGTATTAATTTAATCAAAAGTAAAAGTAAGATAAGATAGATCATTCATGAAAATTTCAAGTTACATCCTAATAACTAGGTGTAAAGTCAACTGATTGTAAGAATAAAAACCTCTCTTTCTTTAATAATTTTAAATGCAATTTTTGATATAAAAAAAAATATTTTAAAATGTTTATTATGAGAAATAAATTTTTATTAATCTAAATTTTTTAAATACAACATTGATATGAATATCATAAGCTTGAGATTTATTAGTATTCTTATAAATTAAATCATATTAACTATAACTTCTTTTATTAACAATAAATAAATTGCCATCAATTTGATAAATTAAAGCATACTTTTGAAAAATCCTTGAAATATATATTATATGAAGTTAAGAAAATAAATATTAAAAAATCTTTTTTGGGTAAATGTAAACTATAAACTATAATTAAAATAGATTATTATCTAAATTATTATTGTAAATATTCTTATAATTATTTTAGTATTTAATATAAGAAACTAATCTAATTTTAATTTTATCTGATATCTAATCTAAAGAATGTTAAAAACCATTTAAAAAATGTTAAATTACTCCAAAAATTAATTTTAGTTTTTAGTTAATAAATAGATTATTTTAAAATTAAATTTGTCATGTCTCATTTTCTGAATATATTTGTAATCTATCATAAAAGAAATTTAAATATAAATAACTCAATCTTAATTTCATTATATTCTAATTAAAATGTTTTAAATAAATATTTTATCATATTAAAAAAAAAATACATTTAATTTATAACTTGATTGGAATATAATATCTTCCTTTCAAGCATTCATTTAGATTGCTTTCTGACATTAGACGATCGATATTTTAGCTTACAATAAGAAAAATTAATTAATCATTATTACTTTTTATGTGATGAATTCTATTTGATTAAAACTATTTACTGTTAATGATTAATATCTTAAATTAAATACTAGAAACATTCCTTAAAGTTAATTAATATTTGATATCATGATCTTACAATTAAAACAATAAAATCTAGAGCTTACTATGAATACATATTTATAAATAAAAATACATAGAGATCTTAAATAGAATTAGGTTTATGCAACCATAATATTATTTTTATTTGAGTTGTTAATAATATAAAAAATTTTTTTAATTTTTTAATTTTATATTAAATTTTCTTTTGATTTTAGTTGAAAAACTAGCTTTAAAGTTATTCAAGTGTATAAACAATAATATTTTTTGAATGTAGTAACTATATATCAAGATTTATTCCTTTTTTTATATATATTAATAATTTTTTTCATGTAGAAAATATTTTAAAAGTATTTTTTCAAACTACACATTTAACTATCTGTTATAGCAGATAGAAAATTGAATATTTATTATTTTATTTAACTTAACAAAATTTTTATTGATATTTTTATCATAATTAGAACCAAATCAATGGCTCTTTTTAGTTCTTAATGTTTAAAGTTATTCAATTGTAAAAGATGATAATTAACCTGAATTCAAAGTTTAAGATAGGGGATTTTTGAAAGTTAATTATAAAAATAGCTGGCTGACTAGCTAGCTAACAATAATATTACAATCTAATCCACTAATTAATTTACTGAATTTATTTATAAATCAAATAATTAATTTACTTATTTTTGTGTTAATAAAGTAAGCTTTGACCTTCATATTTGGTTCATAAAATATATTGGGACTGTTTAGATTAGAAATCTTAAGCCATTTTATGTTAGGATTTCAGAAAATTTAAGTTTAACTTTTAATATCGATTTTAAAAGCTAAGTAGTATTTTATACATGAAAATTTACACTTCAATTAATATTTGGATATATTCACTGATTATTTAAAATATTGATTCTCGACTTGAAATTAAATTAAAGTCAAGCTTGAACTCCATTCTTCTTAACTGATTACATTAATATTAAAAAATTAGATGTGGATATTAATTAAAGATTCTCATTTATAGATGATTTTAATTTTATCTTATTTATACCAAATTTTTCTAAAATAACTAATTTTTTAATCCATTACAATTCACAAATCAACTTATTAAGAGTAATCATCAAACTTCATCCTTTTAAATTGAAAGTATGTTTTCCTTTTTATACAAATTATAATCAATAAAAAGAAAAATAATTGAAATAAATAAAAAAACATATGTAAGTTAAATTAAGTTTAATTTTAATTCTTCTTCTATTTACTAATAGCACTTATGCTCTTAGTAAATGCTAATGCACTGTAGATTCTTCTTCTTTTCCAGGTTCTAGTGCTATTACACCCACATCACTCACTTTATCGACAGATAACGAAATTGTTGGAAATACAGATGTAGGAAAACTTATTGCTGTAGGCTCTATTCAAGTACTTCAATAAATTTTCTAAGTTTAAAAGTAATCTAGTGGAGGACTTAATCACAATTGCCCTTCTGGATATCTCCCTCTTACTAAAGATGATATCACTGCTATAATTGGAAGATCTGATGTAAGCTCTTTAGTTGGATCAACATACTTAAATCTTGATTTCACAAAAAATACCTACTATACTTCTACTAAGGTTAATGCCACAGCTACAAATGGTAGTGATAACAACTCATACGTCTACTTTACTGTATCTATAGATAAAAATAATAAATTTATTATTGGTAATTAAAGCACATACTGGGACTCCAAAGTAAAATCTACTATTTGCAAAAGAAACTTGTAGTCGTTTTCTGTTTCTCTAAATGGATATGAAGGTTTCGATTTAGAAAAAGGAAGATCCTACTAAATGCAAATTACTAATAAAAATGTTTAGCAATATTACATTTATGATAATAATGGAAACAAATTTACCTCATAAACCTTCACTTATACTCATAATGGAGATTCTTAATGGGGATGCGCTACACTAAACTTCAAACTCTAACTTTTTGGAGGAGTTATAGTTGGTGATTGTCTTGCAATTTGGACTTAAAATTAGATTGCTTTTAATGCTGATTCTAGTAACTTCAATATGAATTCTATCAAAACTACTGCCTTGTCAGGGTTCAAAGCAAATGTAAACAATGGATTCTTTTTTAGTCCTGGTTCAGCACCTATAGCTCCAATTATTGGTGATTCGAGTTCGTTTTATGTATATTACTCAGTATAGACATCAAACTAATTGATGGTTTAGAAAGTTTCAAGCACAGGTACTCCGATTGGAGCTGCTATCGATACTAAATAAGTTGGTAAACCTTTCGATATAGTCTCTACCGGATTTGGTTTTGTAGTAATGGCTGCAGATTCAACTTAAAGAGCTTTCATATAAGCCATAAATAAAGATGGAACTCAAAGATGGTTCAGAATACTAATTAACAATGGTGATAAACCAGACAGCCCAAAAGATTAGATTGAATTTTTCTCAAGTGATAAATGTGAATTACCTTTTGGAATGACATGCATGTATAATCCTCATAATGGTAGACTTAACTATGCAAGAGGAAAAATTTAAGCAATTTGGGCACATTATAATCACTTTGGATTTAAAGATGATGGTAGCAGAAACGATCACACTGGAGATACAATGATCAGCTTAGATGCCGATACAGGATATAATTAGAATATCTTTTGGAGCTGGGGAACTTCTCACTCTTTATATTAAAATTTACACTATGATGGAAAAAATCTTTATATAGCTTCACTTGGTGATGCTTATCCTATGAATATTAACTTTAAAGTTTGTAATATTGATACTTTTACATGTAAGGGAAGCAGTACTATAGTATAAGGAGATATCCCTGGTAACGGTGGCGGCTCCTCATCAGGAAGAATTGGTGGTTTCTTTAGTATCGTAGGAAATAGGAATCAAAAACTATTTATCTATTAGAGAAAGGCAAGCAATGGAGGGTATAGCGGATCTGTCTCTACAAATACAGTAAATGAACTAGCTGTACTTAAATTTGATTCCTAATTGAACTATATTTCAACTACAACTCTTTTGAGTGGTGATGCAGCTTCTAGAGTGAACAGTATAAAATCTGTAGCGTATGGTAAAAATATTTTACTTGCATACACAGTTATTCCTGCTTCTGAAATTTCAAATTTTAATCGTTAAAGCAGCAATTACAAAGTAGATTAAGCTTTTGTTGCATTATTAAGTGGTGTTGATGGTTCATTTTTAGCATAGCCAACATAACTGTCTTCCTTCCAAATAAATTCTTCAGATGACTGGAGGATACTTGAAAATGGAACCATCGTCTATACATATATAGACAATAGTAACTCTCTTAATATTTACTACACTTCTCCATTAACAACACCTAGTTATCCAAGTCCTATCTTACCAGCTGATAGTATTTATGGGTATGGTAGTTTTACAAATTCTTAACCAAAAGCTTCATTAAATAACTACAATAAAGTTTGTGTTAAGTAAGGTGATTCAAACTGGAGTATTGTAGACTATTAGGACTCGTCAAGCAGTAACGGAAATACTCCATGCAGTACTGCTAGTGGCTAAAACAATGAATGTAATAAAATCACATATGATAATATTATTCACAGCATGATATTGTCTATAATTATATTGACATTGTTTTTATGAGAAATTAAAAAAGAATATGTCTTTTTCAAAAATTAAAAACTGTTTAAATAGTATATTACTTTGAAATAATTAAATAGTCTAATTATAATATAAAAATTGATAAATTAAATTTGTATGTTTTTACATTTATCTAGTTTTTTTCGTAAATATATAAATTGTTGTATAAAATACTCAAATTAATACTTGATTTTTCTTAATTTTTTTAATAATTTGTATATTATTTATTAAAACCACAAATTAGTTGATGGTTTAAAAGGTTTCTGGTACATGAATACTGATTGGATCTACAAACGATGCTAAATAGGTAGAAAATCCTTTGATATTATTTCAATAGGTTTTGATATGTAGTGGTGGCAGCAGACTCTACTTAGAGAGCTTTTATTTAAACAATTTACAAGATGGATCTTAAAAGTGGCTTAGAATTTTAATAAACAATTATAAGCCAAATAGTTCTAAAGATCAAATAAAAATCTTTTCAGTTAATAAGTGTAACCTTTTGGAATGGTCTCTATGTATAAACTTCATTATGATAGAATTAACTATGCCGAGGAAAAATCTAGACTATATGGGTTCATTAAAGTGGTTTCAGATTTAATATAATTAATTCTAAAAATGGGCACACTGCTTATACTATGATCAGTTTGGATGCAGACATAGATATAGCTATAATATAATTTGGGTTTTGTATATTAAATAAAGCTAAGCAATAGAAGACAAGCAGATACTACCTAAACTAACTCAGTCAACGAGCTTACTTTTATTAAGTTTGATTCTTAGGTAAAATACATTTCCTATACAGCTCATCTAAGTAGTGAAAAAACTTCTAGAGTAAATAGAATAAATCAGTAATTAAATGTAAAATATTAAACTTGCTTACACAGTAATTCCTTCTTTTTAATTAACAAGTTCCAATAAAATCCAATCGCTAAAAAAGTATAGATAAAGAAAATTTATCTTTTATTGGGTTTTATGGGTCAATCTTAGCATAAATGGCGTGGTTATATATCTATATAGATTCTTTATGATTAGAGGGAGAATACTGGAAAACAGAAGTGTTGCTTATACATATATTGACAGCAATAAAAATTTAAATATATACTATACTCCATCTTTTTTAATAATACCCAATTATCCAAATCCAAAATTGACAACATATATTGGGTTTTGTAGTTTTGTTAACTTGAAAGTCAGTATTCAAATTAACAACTATAATAATTTTTGCTCAAACTTGTTGATTCTAATTGGAGTATTTAGACTTTTGAAGAAATTCATCTAATAATGGAAACATTGGTAATAATGTTCAAAAAATTTATAGATAATATTTCAAATTATAAAACAAATATACATGAAAATAATAATAATGATAGACAGATCTGAGAGATAGATGTCTAAAAATTAAAATATGACCAAATAAGTATTTTTAAGAAACAGTTTTATTTTATTAATTAAACTACATTTTTTAGAAAATAATGATTTCTAAAGAGTAAAACCAGCTTGATATCAAATGTTAAATTTAGCTTTTAAAAACGAAGGATATTTTAAAAATAGAAATTTGTTTTTGCTTTTAAGTATTACATTTAATTAAAGTATTAGTAAATCATTTATAGACCCTAATCCTATTTAATTATTTAAATAGATACTATTTTTAGTGTAAATCCTCATAAACTAGTACCGAATTTAATTATAACCCAATTCAAAACAATATTTTTTTTAACCAAGTATTAAATCAAGGAAAAAAAGAGTTTTTCAAAAACCTTAATTAATTAGAATATGTGGTGTTTAAAGGATTCTTATTTTATTTTTGAGATTTGAAGTATTTAAAAAATTAAAAAATTTCAATTTATTTTTGGAAAGTGGTTTTAAATTAAAATTCTATTTATTCTTAAAAATAATTAATCTAATTTTATTTTTTAAGTAGATTTTATGAGTCAGATAATTTTAGTATAATCTATCTCATTTACAATCTTTAAATGAGTTCTATTAAAGAAGTGATATTAAAAAAATTAAAATTGTTTACATATTTTAATAGTACATTCAATTTAATAATTTTCAAAACTCTACCACTTACAGCTAAAAATCTCATCTATATATCTATCTATTTATCAAAATAAATGATACTATTCATGTACCAAATTATTTACTAATCAATTTTTTTTTACTAATTATTTTGAAGTTGTAAATAAATTAGAAAAGTAATGATAAGATTTAATAAAGCAACCTTTAATAAATTAAATTAGATTTTTGAAATATTAATAAACTATTTTTCAAATAATGAAAATAGTAAAAAATCCTATAAATAATTAATTATAAAAGGCTATGGCTATTAGTAGATACAACTGAAAAGTGTTAATTACTATGAGACTAAATAAACAGCATTTTAATTTATGATTATTGTATCAGTTTTTTATGAAATAATAGTAAATTTTAAATTTTAAAACCAAGAACTATATTTAAAATAAAATGATCTATTTAGCTAATATCTAGAAAAATCAGTGTGTAATTAGGCTGGATATTTTAGTTATTTTTGGAAATTTTTTGTAGAAAGTTTTATATTTGGTTTAAAATTAATTGTCTAAGAGATAATTATGCTGGCTTAAGGGAACCCTCCCACCTCAAAATTTTGAGCACTGATTGAATATTATTTAATAAATATTATCAGAAGATCAGCTATCAAAGTAATCTTCATTCTAGTTAGGTTTAAGTGAAAAAAATTAGTTATATTAATTTACTGAATTATTTATTTTTCATGATTTTTTTTATCTGTAAGAAAGAAAAACAACTTTTTTATCTGAAATTTAGAAACTAGATCAAATTTATTGATAAAAAAGATATTTTATTTTAAATTTACCACTATCTTTTAGCCATTAACAGTAAAAATAGAACATTCATTATATAAACCTAACTAATAATAGTAATAATTAACTTTAATTAATTTTTTGATTAAAGTTTGAATTTTATTTTTTGTTTAAAAATAGAACATAATGTAAACTCATTATTTTTTTAATTAAATATTATATTTTAATTAACTTCAGTAAAATTTTATGGTAATGCTTTTGTTTTAAAAATAATACTACAAAATTAAAATCATGAGTGGTAAATGTAAAGATGTAATAAATTTTTGCGTTCATCTCTTTTAAATTATCAATTATCTTTTAACTTAATTAAAAAGAAGCTTTTGTTTTATGTATAAATTATTAATATTTAAAAAATATTAATCTTAAAATGCAAATTAATTCAAGTTTATTTTTATTAGTGCTTTACTTAATCAGCTATGTTTAAGCTCTTAGTAAATGCTAATGTACTGTAGATTCATCTCCTATTCCAGGTTTGAGTAGTACTCCACCTCCTACTCTTTCTATTTCTCGTGATAATGAAGAAATTGATAATGTAGATTAAGGAAAGTTAATAGCTATTGGATCTATTTAAGTTCTTCAAAAACTTTTCTCTGTTTAATAGCAATCAAGTGCAGGTCTCAACTAAAATTGCCCCTCAGGATACATCCCTGTCACTTAAGATGACTTAACTTCTATCATCGCAAGGTCAGATTTTTAGTTTTTAGTTGGCTCTACATATTTAAACCTTGACTTCTCTAAAAATACCTATTATTCTTCTACTAAGGTCAACCCTACAGTTACTAGTGGTAGTGACGCAAATGCTTATGTCTACTATACTTTATCTCTAGATGAGAAGAGTAAACCTGTTATTGGATAGGAAAATACATATTTTGATAAGAAAACAAAAGCTACAATTTGCAAAAGAAATTTGAAGCAATTCTCAATATCATTAGCTGGATATGAAGGATTTGATTTAGAAAAGGGAAAATCCTACTAAATGTAAATTACTAACAAAAATGTATTGTAATATTACATTTATGATAACAATGGAAATAAATTTACAACTTAAACCTTCTCTTATACTCATAATGGAGACTCTTAATGGGGATGCGCTACACTCAACTTCAAGCTCTAGCTTTTTGGAGGAATCTCAGTAGGTGATTGTCTTGCTATCTGGACATAGAATCAGATCGCCTTTAATGCTGATTCTAGCAGTTTTAATATGAATTCAATATAAACTAGTGTCTTATAAGGAGTGAAAGCTAATGTGAATAATGGCTTTTTTTTCAGTTCTGGTTCTGCACCAATAGCTCCTATTATCGGAGATTCAAGCTCCTTTTATGTCTATTACTCAATTCAGACTACAAATCAACTGATGGTTTAAAAGGTTTCAAGTACAGGAACACCTATTGGACCTGCAATCGACACTAAATAGGTTGGTGATACTTTTGATATTGTTTCAACAGGTTTTGGTTTTGTAGTGATGGCAGCAGATTCTACTTAGAGAGCGTTTATCTAAGCAATTAATAAGGATGGATCATAGAGATGGCTTAGAATACTAATTAACAATGGTGATAAGCCAAATAGCCCTAAAGATTAAATAAAATTCTTTTCAGATGATAAGTGTAGCTTACCTTTTGGAATGACTTGTATGTATAGACCTCATAATGGTAGGCTTAATTATGCAAGAGGAAAAATATAAGCTATTTGGGCTCATTATAACCATTTCGGATTTAAAAATGGAGCTAGAGATGATCATACTGCAGATTCTATGATTAGTTTGGATGCAGATACAGGATATGATTAGAATATATTTTGGGCTTGGGGAGCTTCTCATTCTTTGTATTAAAACATGCACTATGATGGAAAAAATCTGTATGTAGCTTCACTTGGAGATGCATTCCCAATGAATATTAAATTTTAGGTTTGCAACATTGATACCTTTTAATGTAAGGCTAGTAGTACTGTTGTTTAAGGGGATATTCCTGGTGATGGTAGTGGGAAAGCTTCAGGTAGAATAGGTGGTTTTTTTAGCATTTATGGAAACAGAAATCAAAAATTATTTGTCTATCAGAGAAAGGCATGCAATGGAGGATATGCCGGTAAAACTTCAACTAATTCAATCAATGAGCTAGCTGTTATTAAGTTTGATTCTTAGTTAAATTACATTTCCTCTACAACTCTTTTAAGTGGTGATATAGCTTCTAGAGTGAATAGCATAAAATCATTAGCTTATGGAAAAAACATACTGCTTGCTTATACAGTAATTCCTAATTCTGAATTGTAAAATTTCAATCGCTAAAATAGCAATCCTAAAGTAGATTAAGCTTTTATAGCTTTGCTGAATGGGGTAGATGGATCATTTTTAGTTTAACCATAATAGTTATCCAGTTACTAAATAAATTCATCAGATGATTGGAGAATACTGGAGAATGGAAGTATTGCTTACACATATATTGATATCAATAAAAATTTAAATGTTTACTATACTCCTTCTTTAATAATACCCAGTTATCCCCATCCTATATTGACAACAGACACTACATATGGATTTGGCAGTTTTACTAATTCTTAGGTCAGTATTCCAATAAATAACTATAATAATGTTTGCCTTAAACAAGGTGATTCTAATTGGAGTATTGTAGACTTTGGAGGAAATTCATCTAATAATAATTCAAATAGTAAAACAAATAAAGATGAAATTACTAATAACGATAGTAGCAATAATAATTCAAATAGTAAAACAAATAAAGATGAAATTACTAATAAAGATAGTAGTGAATAAAATTCTTTTAAATAAATAATAAAGAATTTATGGATTATTTTAATATTATTAACTATAAATTTATGATAAATTCTATGTATTTTTCATATGATAAAAATGTTGTATTAATAATATATAATTTTTATTCAATAACCTTAATAATAAAATCCAAATTTTTAATACATTTTTATATTAATATATATATTTTCATAGTGTGTTCAATTATTAATAAATGTGCTTGTGAAACTAAATATTCTAAAAAAATAATTTTAGTAAAAATATATTTTATTTTCAATTTTAAATTTGAGTTATCATTAATATTAAAAACAAATAATTTGAATTAGATAAGAGAATATTATATAATTTTAAATAGATATTAAATATAAATATTTATATGCAAAAACAATTTCTTAAAATACTATGAATTGATAAAAAAGACCTTAGTTCCTAAAATAAGAAATTTATTAGCTTTAATTGAGATTTTACTTGCTTTTGAAAAAAAAGCTTTTAATTTAATGAAAAAAATATCAGATAATTTAATAAATTTGACAATTTTCAAGATTAAAGCAACACATTTTAAACAAAACAATCTCACTAAAAATAGCAATGTTGTCAATAAAGTACTTTTAAAGAGTTAAAATATAGTGAGTTGTAATAATTCAACCCCACCTTGTTCTTTAATTTACCAATAACATCCTTATTTTTATTAATGATTTTATGAAAAATGATTTGAATACTAACTTATCCTTAGGCGCTAAACGACCTTTTTCTCTATATATATTGGGTGAAGCCTCTCTTGTTGTTGAAGCTGTTATTATTTGGTGGATTCATATTTTTTTTTAATTTTCTTTTTTTAAAGATCATTTTTTTGCTAGTAAGCAAGAACTAAATGGCTGAAATGTGAAAAAATCTCTAATTTTGCATTTTGTGAACTAAAAGATTTCAAAAAAATTTTATTGAATTATCCTAATGAATATGAAGTATTTTGTGAAATTAAGGATTCTATTATCTTTGAAGAAAAATTTGCAGATACTTAGTATGCAAGCTGTGAATAATTTTCTCATAATTTTTCTAATTGCCCATTAATTCACTTGAAATTGAATAAATCTAAAATAATTTACTCACAATGCTATTCAGAATAATAGGTGAGACAGAAATATTAAGAAAATAATTAACCATTCATTCGTAAAAGAAAGCTTTATTAATCATTTAGAGACAGACAATTAATTAGATCAAACCTTAAAAAATTGAGAATTGAATATGCAAAATAATAGCTTTTAGAAGATTAAAAAGAAGATGCATAAACTGGAAATTAGTCTATGACAAAATTTTTAATTTAAGAAGAAATAAAAAGTTATGAATAATATTTTTATACAAATGTTGAAGATAAGTAATTCTTTTTAGGTGTTCCAGAAATTAATGCTTATTTACCACTAACATAAAATGAAGAGTAATATTTGTAAAATGAGCCATTTCATTAATTTCTTACATCAGATAATGAAGAAGATTATGATGCTGATTAAGGTATTGAAGATTATTTATCAAGTAATGACAAAACTGTTAATGATAAGACTATTGAAAACTTAGATATCACAAATGATGAAAAAAGTGAAAAAATTAATAATTAAGTAGCAAATTTCTCTTTAAACACAGATAAAAATGCAATATCTTCAATTAACTCAGTTTCAAAATCTCAACAAAAAACAGAACACAACAATACAATCAGGTAAAATATTTTTTCTAAATCTCATATAAACACAGACGAATCAACTTTTGAGTTAAGAAAAAATAATCATTAATCAAGTTTAATTAAACTTTAATAAGATGATTAAGTATAATTTAATATAATTCCTCATTATAACTCTGAATAATCTATTCATTCAAGTCTAAAAGAGCCTTAATAATTTTAGTATACGAAGCAACAATCATCTCAATCAGTTAAATTTTCTTAGAATTAAGTTTATAATAACTAGAGTTAAGCAAACAAAGATTAATTAATATAACAGCTTTAATAAGGCTAACATTAAAATCAGCAATTATAATAATCTCTTCCTTAGGTCTTAAATTATCAAATTCTAAAATTAATTTGCTAAGCTATGTAGTTACAGTAAAGTAACTAAAGTGGTAATTAAGGAAATAATATTTCAAATAATTAATCTAGTCATACTATGTAGTAACCTGCAGGCTAAAATATTAGAAGACCTTCATATTAAAGGACTAAAACAAGGAAAGATACTCACAAAAAATCAGTTACTATAATGAGATATAAGACATTTAAATAAACCATATAGCCAATTTTATAGAATGCTCAAAATATTACCTAAGTGGATAGTCATTAATTAGATAGCTAACAAAAATAAAGACAACAATAATTTTATTTCTTTGACTTTGAAAAGATTAAAAATATGGTGAAATATTTCCCAAAATATAATCTGCAAAATGTTATTAATATTCAAAACAAATACTTCAAGCTAAGAATGAATAGTATTAGAAAATCAATCAAAAAAGAAAATAACGTAGATAATAGAAGCCCGACATTTATAGGTAGACCTTCTATTTAATAAGGTCTTTCTCCTACTAGAAAAAGGAAAGAATAGCGTTCTAATGCTATAAACTCACCTTTCTAAATAAGATGCAAGCAAGTTAAGCAAACGATAGTCCTTTAAAATTGATCAAAATTAATTCAATATCAAATTATCAAAAAATAATTTAATTATATTGGTTGAGTCTAATATTTAATTATCGTAATTTATTAATTTATGATTAAAAAAATTAAGTATATTTCAAGTATTTATTTCTTGAAAATATTCTATAAAATGATTAAATAAATAAAAAACAATTACATATGATCAATTCTCTCTTAATTTCAATTAATATTAAATTTTTTGTTGAGTAGCAAATTAATTCATCAAAAATGATAAAAAAATTCATTATTTCAATAATATTTTTTATTATTTTGATTGGAAATATAAGCATTTCAGATTTTATCAGATACTTAATTATTACACTGATTTTTTTACATTTCTTAAATCAAAGTAATCAATATTATAATTACTTTAGGAAGAAGGATGGATGAGTAATATAAAATATATTGATTAAATTTTTAAAGATATTAATTGAAGAAGTACAAATATTAAAATATGTGAAAGATGAGATTACAGAAAAATTAAATTAATTTTAAAATTATTTAATAAATCAGACAGTTGTTATTTCTTTTTCTTATTTAGCGGACATGTATTATTTAAATCTTCTACTAGACTTATAGAAATAGAAAGCTACGACCATAGTAATACTGAAGAGAACACCAAATATAACAATAAGAGCAATACTCCATCCAGGAGCACTGTTATCGCTTTCTCCAACAGTTTATTAGGTTTAGAGATTTTATGTTTAAGGAATAGGATTTCCACATTATACATCATAGTCAGGAACAATAAATTAGTTAACTCTATTTTAGAAGTCAGTCAATTCACAGTATGTTTAGGATTAGTCACAAATCTTTTAGTATTCACCATTGTATTTGACTTAAATATACTTTTTATTATCCTTTGTTACAATTTCAAAAACGACATTAGAAGCAAAGTCAGTGTCTTAAGTGATACAAACTTTTCCGTTAACAGGTTTATAGTCATTTTTTATATAATCAATTAAACATTAGTAATTAACAAGATTAAGTCCTAGTAAAACAGTATTGATAGTTGTATCATGAGCTGAAAGGACAGTGAATATAGGCTTGTGGGTATCTCCAGTATATTTTAATAAGTCTGAAAAAAAAGGAGTAGGAACAACTTTTTTTTGTTATTCAGTTAAGAAATAGCTAAAATAGAATTAAAGATTGACAGCAATTTTAATTTTTTTTGATAAGTCAGCATCTGCATAAAAACTTTTTGATGAATCATCTTGAGCAGGATTATCGTTCCATAAATTACATTAAAGGACATCTAACCATTCATAAAGTGTAGATAAAGTAGATGAAGAAGCCTAAAATCCATACTTTGAGAAAAGCTTTTCAAAGTCTTAGAATTATTTATCGAAGAATTGTCTATATTCCTTAAATAAAGGTCCATTTGCAGCATCATTTATCCATTAAATACTATTTTGGCAAGCATTTCCATGAATATAAAGAGCTCCATCATATTTATTTTAGACAGTTCTGATAGGGACTGGTTGATATGCGTTTGCAACTGAATTGTTATCACCGGGCTAGGCAGCTAAGTTACTGTAAGGAGGGTTAAGATGTTTGACTTTATCATTATCACTAGTAATAGTAGCTGAAATAGTAGGTCCAGTTCCTGCAGGATAAAGTCCAGCCATGAAACTCTAAGCAGACATAATTGTTCTATTTTATGAAATAATTATTGAAAATTTAGAAAAAATCTTAAAAGTATAAATTTAGATTAAAAAATAAAATAATTAATTACCTATCAGAATCAGTTGATCTAATGTAAAATTAGGAGGAACTGAACTTTTCAGGGATGAATTTTTTATTAGTAAAATATTCATTTCTCAATGAGCTTCCTAATTAAAAGAGTTATCTTGCACCTACAGGTGATAATTAACCTGAATTAGTTTTTGTCTAATCAGTATTGTAGATAGGAGCTTTTGAATTATAATTTGGGTATCTGGCACCATGTCTGAAGACAACAATTACTTTATTTAATTAAGCACCATCTAATTAGCTCTAGGCGGCTATAGAAAAAACTACTAATAAAAGTAAAACTTTAGCTGACATTTTTTGGTATTTATTCCTATTTATTTTCAAAATTTTATTTAATATTAATTATAAATACTTTATGATCCTTCCTCTTTATAAAGTAAAAAAGTTTACTAATATGAACTTGTTGGTAATACTTACTTTTTTTAAATGTATTATTTATCAATAATTAAATAAATATATGCTTAACTTGATATATGCTTAACTCTAAAACTTACTTTAATTTCAATTTTAAAGTACCTTTGTAAAATACATATGCATAATTCCATGCTATCTAAAGTAAAGACAATTAGATCAACTATATTCTTAGCATTATACAATATTACTACCAGAATTATATGGAAAAGATAGATGATTTACAATTTGTTTTAGTGTAACAAGATATAAATAATACATTATAATTTTAAAGCATAGCATTTATTACTATTAACAATCTCTAAAAAAGTGCTTAACCAAAATTGAACAAAGTTAAGATAATTAAAACCTCCCTTAAAGTAATAAAATACTATGAATTATCGTAAAATACGTTGAAATATTGAATAAAAATTTGAAGTAGAACCAATTTTTTGAGTACTTAAGTTGTTAAGTTGTTAAGTACTTAAGTTCAGACAGGTTATTATACAAATTATGGTATATAAAAATTAATTTTAAAATAATTATTTTAAATTTAGAATATCTGATTAGATGAGTGTGATTATATGGATAATTGAGATAAAAAATATTTAATTTTTTTATTGTGAAATGAGTACGATTTTCCATATAGATATTGTGATAAAATATCCCGGAAGCCATCATCTCTATTTGTAGTATGAATTAAATAGCAATATTTTTATTTTCTTCTTTTTAAACCTACTAATAGTAATATTATTTTGAAATATATCTATCATAAAATAAAATCATAAGAAAATATTTAATATTTTGTTAATTTCACAGTCTTTTAAAGTATCAAATATCTATTTTTCAATCTGGTCATCCTTTTCTTTTTAATTCTCTATTTATTTCCTACTACAAAATTAATTTTCAGAGAATAGTTCTCTGATTGTAACTCGCTAATTTTTTGTTTTATTTTGTGTTGCATAGAATTATTAAAAAAAACAAAATTAATAAAAATAAACTTTTATTTTATTTATTTTTAGTGTTCAGAAAAATTTAAATTACAAATATGTTTTCGAAAAGGGTTAGATAATCTTCATTTTTATCACTAAAATATGGAATCTTCTCCTTCTTGGGGAAAGTTAAATTGTTGAAAAGTAAAAGCAAACTACAGAATTATTTGTGTGACATTTATATAGTTAATAATTAATGAGGCAATTTTTTTATCAAAAAGATTATTTTACTGTTATTGATAATTGTTGTAAAATAATTTATGATTCCATATTAATTTTCTTTTGAGTTACTGAATTGACCTATCCTATATGCTGATAAATTAGTACTTGACTTCCAAACACTAACACCATTTTCTAGTTAATTTTCATGGCCTTTTAATATATGAAAATTAAGGTTCAAATTTATATTGGATTATATCGTATTTGTTGAAATTGCTGAATTTGTTTATAAATCTTCAGTTTTAGTGTGATAAATATGTGTGGTGTTAAATATGTATTCCAGTCATAAGTTATCTATTTTAATTAATGTGGTTGTAAAGTGTATTTTAATTGAAGAATAACTTGAGTGGTATTTGAAATGCATCTCATGGCCCATTTTCATATTTTATTTGATTAAAAAATATTAATTATAATACTTAATATACATTTTCGAAACACAATATCAACTTATTCTTCATAAAATTTTAATTTAGAATTTTATTTTGGTATAACTTTTTAGTATCATACTTTAATACTTTTAAATTTTCCATCCTCAATAGTTGTACATCTTGAAATAAAACTAGATAATTTGTTGATATCTATAATTTCAATTCCATGAATATGATATTTTTCTCTATTTTTAATCCCTAAATCATACAAAAACTATATATGTTTTTATTATTGAATTTAATTGATAAGTTTTAATTTTAATACTTATTTTTTTCTAAGGTTGACTTTAAAATAAATCTAAGAAAAATACTTATTTTAAGTTGATTAAAATTATGTGAAAACTAAGGAACTGCCAAAAAAATACACTTTTGATAATTAAAATATGGTTTAACAATTGTTTAAAAAACAGCATTTTTTGTCTTAATATTTAGAATCCAACAAATAATTTCATTATGTTAATAAAGCTAAATTTTGTTTAAAAAATTAAATTTCAAACCTTTAAATTAATAAAAAATGATTGGAGACTTTTAAAAATAAAGATTTAAATATTTCATTTAATTTAAATATTTTCAAAGATGTTTCGTTTACATATTTAATTATCTAATTAATAGATGCTACTTAGGTCTTTACTTATAATTTTATGATTTTTACTTGTATATTTAGAACTAATAAAAATTTTTATTAAGGATTATAACTCTTATTTAAAAATCTAATAAGACAATATTTTATCTCTTTCTGAAGCTTTAACAGATTTTATAGCAAATTTAATTTAAATATTGGAATACCTCTCTCTCAACTCGTAACTCGTAATTTGCAATTTAAGACCTATCTATTATCAATTATTTTTTTTAATTTTCCTTATTTTTTAAGTTCAATTCTCTTATTGAGGTATTACGGTAATTAACTTCAAATAATTATAAGATATAAGTTCGAACTGAATTTTGAACCTAAAGTTAATAGAATTAATTATCTTTGTTTTGTTAATAATGTTAATTTAATTAAATACCATACAATTTTGTAAAGTGAAAACAAATCAAAGCCTTTTTTGTATTCTTCAAGTAAAAGTAATACATACATTAATAATGAATGATAGTTTAATTTAATTAAAAAGAAAATTTCATTTTTTTATAATTTATTAATCAATAAAAAAATTATCTTAAAAATGTGGGTAAATTCAAGTTTGTTTTTATTACTGCTTTGCTCAATAAGTAGCGTTTAAGCTCTTAGTAAATGCTAATGTACTGTAGATTCATCTCCTATTCCAGGTTTGAGTAGTACTCCTCCTACAACTCTTTCTCTTTCTACTGAAAATGAAGTTATTGATAATGCAGATTAAGGAAAGCTAATTGCTGTTGGATCTATTTAAGTCCTTCAAAAACTTTTCTCAGTTTAACAACAATCAACCTCTAGTCTAAACTAAAATTGCCCCCCTGGGTACATTCCTCTCACTTAAGATGACTTAACCTCCATCATTGCAAGGCCAGATTTTTAGTCTTTAGTTGGCTCTTCATATTTAAACCTTGACTTCTCTAAAAATACCTATTATTCTTCTACGAAAGTCAATCCTACAGTAACTGACGGAAATGATGGAAAGGCTTATGACTTCTATACCTTATCTCTAGATAATAATAGTAAACCTGTTATTGGCTAGGAAAATACATATTTTGATTCTAAAACAAAATCTACAATTTGTAAAAGAAATTTGTAGCAATTCTCAATTTCATTAGCTGGATATGAAGGATTTGATTTAGAAAAAGGTAAGTCATACTAAATGTAAATCACAAACAAAAATGTATTTTAATATTACATTTATGATAACAATGGAAATAAATTTACAACTTAAAAATTCACTTACACTCATAATGGAGACTCTTAATGGGGATGTGCTACACTAAACTTCAAGCTCTAGCTTTTTGGAGGAGTCTCAGCTGGTGATTGCATTGTAATCTGGACTTAGAGTCAGATCGCTTTTAATGCTGATTCTAGCAGTTTTAATATGAATTCAATATAAACTAGTGTCTTATAAGGGGTGAAAGCTAATGTGAATACTGGTTTCTTTTTCAATTCAGGTTCTGCTCCAATAGCTCCTATTATTGGAGATTCAAGCTCCTTTTTTGTCTATTACTCAGTTCAAACTTCAAATGAGCTGATGGTTTAGAAGGTTTCAAGCTCAGGAATACCGATTGGATCTGCAATTAACACTAAATAGGTAGGAGATCCTTTTGATATTGTTTCAACAGATTTTGGTTTTGTAGTGATGGCAGCAGATTCTACTTAGAGAGCTTTTATCTAAGCAATTAACAAGGATGGATCATAGAGATGGATTAGAATACTAATTAACAATGGGGATTCACCAAATAGTCCCAAAGATTAAATAGAATTCTTTTCAGATGATAAGTGTGGCTTACCTTTTGGAATGGCTTGTATGTATAGACCTCATAATGGTAGACTTAATTATGCAAGAGGAAAAATCTAAGCTATATGGGCTCATTATAACCATTTCGGAACTAACAATGATGGTTCTAAAAATGATCACACTGGAGATACTATGATCAGTTTGGATGCAGATACAGGATATAACTAGAATATATTTTGGTCTTGGATGACTTCTCATTCTTTGTATTAAAACTTATACTATGATGGAAAAAATCTGTATGTAGCTTCACTTGGAGATGCATACCCAATGAATATTAATTTTAATGTTTGTAATATTGATACCTTTTAATGTAATACTAGCAGTACCATTGTTTAAGGAGATATTCCTGGTAATGGTAGTGGTTCATCATCAGGTAGAATGGGTGGCTTTTTTAGCGTTATTGGAAATAGAAATCAAAAATTATTTGTCTATCAGAGAAAGGCTTGCAATGGAGGATACTCTGGTACTAAGTCAACTAACTAAATCAATGAACTTGCTGTTATTAAGTTTGATTCTTAGTTAAAATACATTTCCTCTACAACTCTTTTGAGTGGAGATTAAGCTTCTAGAGTGAATAGCATAAAATCATTAGCTTATGGAAAAAACATACTGCTTGCTTACACTGTAATTCCTTCTCTTGAGTTATAAAATTTCAATCGCTAAAATAGCGATGATAAAGTAGATTAGGCTTTTATTGCTTTACTTAGTGGATTAGATGGATCATTCTTAGTATAACCAAAATAGTTACCAAATTTCTAAATAAATTCATCAGATGATTGGAAAGTGTTGGAGAATGGAAGTATTGCTTACACATATATTGATAGCAATAACAATTTAAATATCTAGTATACTCCTTCTTTAATAATACCTATTTATCCTAATCCTATATTGATATCGGACACTACATATGGGTTTGGTAGTTTTACTAATTATAAGGTTAGCATTCCAGTAAATAACTACAATAATATTTGTGTTAAATAAGGTGATTCTAATTGGAGTATTGTAGATTTTGGAGGAAATTCTTCTAATAATGGAAATTATAATAATAATTCAAACAATAACACAAATAATAATTCAAATATTAATATAAGTAGTAGTAATTCTTTTAAATAAATAATAAGTAATTATTGGTTTATTTTAATAATATTTACCTTTAGTGCATGATACTTTCTTATTATATTTTAAATATTTTATACGATTAAATTAATAATTTAAAAAATAAAAAAATTTTAGAAAATTTCATTCTTAATAATAAATAATGATACAAAAAGATTCTTTAAAAAAATATATACATAGTTTATGATCTAAAGTAACTTTCTAATAATTTAAAGCTTATATTTTTTCAACCATTTAAATTAATCAAAAAAAAAGTCTAGCTCCCTTTTTTATTTTTTAGATTAATAGAACAATTACAGAATATTTTTAATCAATTAAAAATTTTTATATTTTTATTTATTATTCATTGAGCAATAAATATCTGGGCTTGTAAAAAATGAATGGGATTTAAATATATAATTATTTTAGTTATTATTTTTACTTATATTATTTAAGTTATTATTCTTTTTAAGTTTTTTAATTGTTTATATTTTACTTATTGTTATTCTTTAAGTTTATTACCAGTAATCTTTTAATTATCTTTTGTTTGTAAGTGTAATTCTTTTTATCTTCACCAATATATTTATTTATTCTTTAATTATATATACATTTTTTCCATAAGCAACTTATTATTCTGTGATATTTTTGAGGATTGCACTGTAGATTTATCAGTTCAATGTTAAATTATATAATTACTACTAAGAAAATTTTTGCCATAATATTATGAACTATTATTCTTGTAAATATTGTGTTTTATGAAAGAGCCACTCTGTGATAATCACCTTTTTCTATTAATTATTCCTTTAAAATTTCTTCCTGATTGCTTATTTCTTATACAACCGAAGTTTGATACTTTTTAATTTCTAAAACATTATCTATTTGAATTGTAATTGTTAATTTATAGGTATTGCTACACATTCATTTTTAGTCTTATTTTATATTAAATAGAATTATTAAAAAAAAAAATAAAACTAATAAAAATGCATTTTTATTTTATTTATAAATATAGCTAGCAGAAAAATTAAAATTACAAACTTCTTTTGGATAAGGGCTAGATTATCTTCATTCTTATCTTTAAATAGGATATTTTTTCTTTCTTGGTGATAGTTATATTGTTGAAAAGTAATAGTAATGCACAGAATCATTTGTGATAAATTTATAAACTTAAAAATTTATGGTATTATTTTTTGATTGAAAATGATGATTTTATTATTGTTGATAATTGAAGTGAAATAATTTTTAAGAATGTGATAGAAATATTATCCCATATCAATTTTCTTCAAGATTACTGAGAGGATCCACCCTATGTGTCCATAAATTCGTACTTTACTTCCTCAAGCTCACACCTTTTACTAGTTACTTTTAATGGCCCTTCTTTCAAAAAAATTAAAGTTGAAATTAATATTAGAATATATTTTATCTGTTGTAATTGTTAATAAATAACAGTGTTACTTTTGCCAATTAATATTTATTAGATATTTTTTTTATTTTAGTGTGATGAATTTGTGGAGGTGTTAAAATTGTATTCTGGTTAATAGTTATCTATTGTGATTAATGTGGTTTTAATAATGTGGAATGTGATTGATGAATTTCTTGAGAGGTATTATCTTTTATATTTTTTATTAAAAATAATTAATTATTTTTCTAAATATACATTTCCAAATCATAATATCTACATCATTTTCATAAAAAATGTATTTTTGTTTGATACTTTTAAAATTTTCTTTATCAATAGTTAGTTGTACATATTGAAATAAAAGTATATAATTTGTTGAAATCTATAATTTCAATTACATGAATATGATACTTTTCTCTGTTTTTAATACCATAAATTTTATAAATAGTCCTTGCAAAAGCTTTTTATCCTTTACTATTTTGAATTTAATTTATAAATTAATATTTTAATACATACTTTAAAATAGATCATTTTCATTAAAAAAATTAAGAAAAATAGTTATTTTAAGTTAAAAAATTATGTGAAAACTAACAAACTGCCATGAAAATACATACTGTAAATGCTCATTAATTAAGGCATATTTTAATTAAGGCATTTTTTTCTTAAATTTTTTTTTTTGGCACTTTTTTTTGGGTAAAAAAGATACTTAGGGAATGCCTTAATTAATGAGCATTTACAGTATATGCTAATTGAAATATGGTTTAACAGGTTTTTAATAAACAGTATTTAATAGCTTAATATTTTTAATCCAATAAATAATTTGTATTAAAAATTTAATTTCTAACCTTATAATTAATTTAAAAAATGATGAGAGATTTTTAAAAAATAAAATATTGTTTACACATTTAATTTATATATTTTGAAAGCTACTTTGTTTGCAGGTAAAAATTGTATTTAATTATTGTAACGATACATGCCAGTTATGTCTTTACTTGTAATTGTGCTTTTTACTTGTTAATTTAGAATTAATAAGAATTTTAATAAGGGTTTTTACTCTTATTTCTAAGCTGTTATAGATTCATTTATATGGTAAATTTAATTTGAATATCTTCGAAATTCGACCACTTCTTGATACTAACTCTAAAAAAATTAATAAATCTAAATAAAACATATAAATAATTACATCCTTAATTAGTTTATAAAATTTATTTGAACTTTACTAAATCAAATCTTAAGATTAAATATGGAAATTTTAAATGTTTTAAATTAGAATTTAGAAGGAATATTATTAAAAAATAAATTCACAAATAATGAATACTATACAAAACTCCAGAATATCATGGAAATACTTGAAGAGTGTTATTTTGAACTTAGATAAGCAACATTTTAATAGCAAGTGCCTCCGTTTTCAATAATGTAATTGCTAATTCGAATATAAAAAATGTAAAAAGAGCAACAATATTAAAAATAGTCTAACCCTCCAAAAAAAATTTATTATTGCTTGTTTTGTAAATAAGGTCTACAGAATTTGCTTCAATTATTATAGCTGGTTATTTTATATTTTATTAATTTAATCATGATTTTATTTAAATTAGAGTTAGCTGCGAAAGTATAATTTTTTTAAAGTAAATTTGATTCTAAATGGATGAACAGTGGATAATTTATTTACTACCATAGTAATAATAATTCTAGTAAACTTTAGGTGAAAAATTAATTTTTGAAATTTAGATAAATAGATTAATTTACTGAATTAATTATAATTGATGATTTCTTCTATTTAAAAGAAAGAAAAAATCTTCTTTTATATTGATGTTTAAATAATTTGTTTATTTATTCTAACTAGTTAATATTAAAAAATTAGTATCAACAGGATGGTATGGATACAAATGGTGATTTTACATCACCTTATCATTTTCTTTTAACCACTAATAGAAAAAATACTATATTTAATAAACCAAGAAAACTGTGGTAATAATTAACTTGAAATCATTATAAGATACAAGTTCGAATATTATTTTTAAAATAAAGTTAATTTAATTATCTTTGTTTTGTAAATAATGATAATTTAATTAAAGACCACACAATTTTATGGGTGAATGCAAATCTAAGCTTTTTTTGTATTCTTCGAATAAAAGTAATATGTAGATAAATTATGAATGATCCTTCTATTTAATTAAAAAGAAATTTTTGTTTTTTTATAATTTATTAATAAGTAAAAAATAATCTTAAAAATGCAAGTAAATTCAAGTTTATTTATATTATTACTTTGCTCAATTAGCAGCGTATACGCTCTTAGTAAATGCTAATGCACTGTAGATTCATCTCCAATTCCTGGTTCTAGTAGTACTCCTCCTACAACACTTTCTCTTTCTACTGATAATGAAGTAATTGATAATGTAGATTAAGGAAAGCTAATTGCTGTTGGATCTATTTAAGTCCTTCAAAAACTTTTCTCAGTTTAAAAGCAATCAAGTGGAGGTCTTAACTAAAATTGTCCTTCAGGATACATCCCTGTCACTTAAGATGACTTAACCTCTATCATCGCAAGGTCAGATTTTTAGTCTTTAGTTAGCTCTACATATTTGAACCTTGATTTCTCTCAAAATACCTATTATTCTTCTACTAAGGTCAACCCTACAGTTACTAGTGGTAGTGACGCTAATGCTTATGTCTACTATACTTTATCTCTAGATAAGAATAGTAAACCTGTTATTGGATAGGAAAATACATATTTTGATTCGAAAACAAAAGCTACAATTTGCAAAAGAAATTTGTAGCAATTCTCAATATCATTAGCTGGATATGAAGGATTTGATTTAGAAAAAGGAAAGTCCTACTAAATGTAAATCACTAACAAAAATGTTTTGTAATATTACATTTATGATAACAATGGAAATAAATTTACAACTTAAACCTTCACTTATACTCATAATGGAGACTCTTAATGGGGATGCGCTACACTCAACTTCAAGCTCTAGCTCTTTGGAGGAGTCTCAGTTGGTGATTGTCTTTCTATTTGGACTTAAAATTAGATTGCCTTTAATGCTGATTCTAGCAGTTTTAATATGAATTCAATATAAACCAGTGTCTTATCAGGAGTGAAAGCTAATGTGAATACTGGCTTCTTTTTCAGTCCTGGTTCTGCTCCTATAGCTCCTATTATTGGAGATTCAAGTTCCTTTTATGTCTATTACTCAGTTCAAACGACAAACCAACTGATGGTTTAGAAGGTTTCAAGCACAGGAACACCGATTGGATCTGCAATAGACACTAAATAGGTAGGTAATCCTTTTGATATTGTTTCAACAGGTTTTGGTTTTGTAGTGATGGCAGCTGATTCTACTTAGAGAGCTTTTATCTAAGCAATTAACAAAGATGGATCATAGAGGTGGTTTAGAATACTAGTTAACAATGGCGATTCACCTAATAGTCCTAAAGATTAAATAGAATTCTTTTCAGATGATAAGTGTAGCTTACCTTTTGGAATGGCTTGTATGTATAAACCTCATAATGGTAGACTTAACTATGCAAGAGGAAAAATATAAGCTATATGGGCTCATTATAACCATTTTGGATTTAACAGTGATGGCTCTAAAAATGACCACACTGGAGATACTATGATCAGTTTGGATGCAGATACAGGATATAACTAGAATATATTTTGGGCTTGGGGAGCTTCTCATTCTTTGTATTAAAACATGCACTATGATGGAAAAAATCTGTATGTAGCTTCACTTGGAGATGCATTCCCAATGAATATTAAATTTTAGGTTTGCAACATTGATACCTTTTAATGTAATACTAGTAGTACTGTTGTTTAAGGAGATATTCCTGGAAATGGTGGTGGTTCATCATCAGGTAGAATTGGTGGTTTCTTTAGTATTTATGGAAACAGAAATCAAAAACTATTTGTCTATCAGAGAAAGGCATGCAATGGAGGATATGCCGGTACTACTTCAACTAACTCAATCAATGAGCTAGCTGTTATTAAGTTTGACTCATAGTTGAAATACATTTCCTCTACAACTCTTTTGAGTGGTGATATAGCTTCTAGAGTGAATAGCATAAAATCATAAGCTTATGGAAAAAATATACTGCTTGCTTACACTGTAATTCCTTCTTCTGAATTGTAAAATTTCAATCGTTAGAATAGCAATGCTAAAGTAGATTAGGCTTTTATTGCTTTACTTAGCGGAACAGATGGGTCATTCTTAGTATAACCAAAATAGTTATCAAATTTCTAAATAAATTCATCAGATGATTGGAGAATATTGGAGAACGGAAGTATTGCTTATACATATATTGACAGCAGTAACAACTTAAATATCTACTATACTCCTTCTTTAACAATACCAAGTTATCCCAATCCTATATTGACATCAGATACTACATATGGGTTTGGTAGTTTTACTAATACTTTGGTTAATATTCCAATAAATAACTACAATAATGTTTGTGTTAAATAAGGTGATTCTAATTGGAGTACTGTAGACTTTGGAGGAAATTCATCTAATAATGGAAATAGTGGTAATAATAATTCAAATAATAACTCAAACAATAATACAAATAATAATTCAAATATAAATACAAATAATAATAATAATTCTTATAAATAGATAGTAAAGAATTTATGGTTTATTTTAATAATATTAACCTTAAGTGTATGATACTTCTTATTATTTTTTAATAGTATAAATTATTCAATTAATAATATATAAAATATAAAATTATAAAATTGATGAATTATTTTAAGAAAATTTCATCCATAATAATAATCTTTAAAAAATATTAAATTGATTGTGAAATGTTTGATATAAAAATGGTTTATGAAATTTATATTAAATGTAAGTGGTTTAGGATCTGATGTATCTTTCTTTATGGGATTTGTTTTTTTAACCATTTAAATGAGTATAATTAATTTATTTTCCTTCATTATATTCAAACCACCTTTAAATGTTTAATAATAAAATGTATAATTAATAAGAATGAGGAATAAAAAGTAGTTTTGAATTTTCTCACAAAAGTTTCCTTAATAACTTATTCATATTATTTTTACTTACTAGTATAATTAATTTTTTGAGAAGCAATTTTTGCAATAAAATTATATTTTTAATATTGTGTATTGTTTATTGTTTATTCAAATTATCTTTTGCATATTATTTATGATTTTTTGATTATCAAAAATTTCAGTGCTATTATTTTTAGTTTAGTGTACATAAAAATTCCTAAATATATTTAATATTTCAAAAAAATATCAAATCTTTTAATATTCAGCTTCCTTATTCTTTACTTTTTAATAATGATGACATTTATAATAAATTAATAATTTTTGTGAAAAGTAAATTTAAAATTGATAAGATAAAATTACCAACATTAAAATTGAGCTTAAATAAAAAATATATAAATGTTGAGATTTTATAACTTTAAAAATACTATTTATGATAAAAATATTATTCGAGCATACAGCCTAAGAATTATTCCTAAAATTTAAGATTTATTATAATTAAAAGACAATAAAGCATTTATACAATGCAAAAAATACAAATCAATATAATATATTAAATTTGGTAATCTGCAAGATTAAAGTAACAAAAAAAATAATTAATAAAACAACCACTTTTCAAAAATTAAAATATTCTTTTTATTAGATAAAATCTAAATATATTAAAGTATTTTATTTTTATTAACATAAAATAAACCAAATTTAAAAAATACAGGGGTAAACTAAACTAAAGGAAGAGAATAAATTTATTTTAATTTCAAATAGAATTAAGTTCTGCTAAAATATCAAATATCTCTAAAATGATCAGGCAATCCCCTTTTATATCTGAAAATAATTTGATTTATTTATCATTAATAGTTTCAAGTTGATGATTATTTTAATTTAGTTTTACTATCCTTCTATATATTATCTATAATAATAATAATATTAAAAATATGGTAAGATTTATTTATTAAATTTTAAAAAGAAACGTAAATAATTAGTGTAAATTGTACATTCTGTTAAAATACAAATTATATTAGTTATAATAAATTAAATTCAAGACAATATACATTATGATAAATTAAGACCACACATAACCATTCTTTTGTTTATTATTACACACCCTTACTTATAATTATTTTGAATCAAGATTTTAATTTATTAGTATTTAAAACAAATTTATATTTTAAAAACGAATGGCTTTATTTTTTCTAAATGTTGTACTTACTTTTAATTTAATTAACCTTCCATTTAATTAAATTAATCATAAAATACTCATAAATAGTAATATCTAAACAAATTCTCCAAGAACTATAGATCTATTTATAATATTTATATTTTTATTGTGGGATTATAGTATATTTTTAATAGTTTTTAAGTTTTTTAAAATTAAATTTATAAATATTTCAAAATGATAGTTGTTAAAAAAATATATGAATTCATCTGTTAGAGTTTTTATACTATCTAAAATATTAGCTTATATAGAAAAATGTACATTTGTATTAGTAACTGTTTATTTTAAATGTGGTTATAACTAATTTCAAAATGTGGATGAAATTAAATTATGAACTTTGTTTTTTATTTCAATTTACATTTAAATTAAATTAATTATGGTTATGAATAATTTATATTTAATTTCAGGTTAATTTAAAGTAAGAAAAAACATATATTTCATTAAGCTTTAACCTTGGCATAACCACATATTTAATAATCATACATAATACTATTTTGAAATATTTTCTTTAAATTCAAATATACTTTCCAAGTAAAAAAAATAATTAAATAAAAAACAAACAATTAAAAATGCAAATTAATTTGAATTTATTTTTCTTACTGCTTTGCTCAATTAGCTGTGTTTACGCTCTTAGTAAATGCTAATGTACTATAGATTCGTCTCCTATTCCAGGTTCTAGTAGTAATCCTCCTACAACTCTTTCTCTTTCTACTGATGATGAAGTTATTAACAATTCAGATTAAGGAAAGCTAATTGCTGTTGGATCTATTTAAGTTCTTCAAAAACTTTTCTCAGTTTAACAACAATCAAGTGGAGGTCTCAACTAAAATTGCCCCTCTGGATACATTCCTCTCACTTAAGATGACTTAACCTCTATCATCGCAAGGTCAGATTTTTAGTCTTTAGTTGGCTCTACATATTTGAACCTTGACTTCTCTCAAAATACCTATTATTCTTCTACTAAGGTCAACCCTACAGTTACTAGTGGTAGTGACGCTAATGCTTATGTCTACTATACTTTATCTCTAGATAAGAATAATAAACCTGTTATTGGATAGGAAAATACATATTTTGATAAGAAAACAAAATCTACAATCTGCAAAAGAAATTTGTAGCAATTCTCAATTTCTTTAGCAGGATATGAAGGATTTGATTTAGAAAAAGGAAAGTCCTACTAAATGTAAATCACTAACAAAAATGTTTTGTAATATTACATTTATGATAACAATGGAAATAAATTTACAACTTAAACCTTCACTTATACTCATAATGGAGACTCTTAATGGGGATGCGCTACACTCAACTTCAAGCTCTAGCTCTTTGGAGGAGTCTCAGTTGGTGATTGTCTTTCTATTTGGACTTAAAATTAGATTGCCTTTAATGCTGATTCTAGCAGTTTTAATATGAATTCAATATAAACCAGTGTCTTATCAGGAGTGAAAGCTAATGTGAATACTGGCTTCTTTTTCAGTCCTGGTTCTGCTCCTATAGCTCCTATTATTGGAGATTCAAGTTCCTTTTATGTCTATTACTCAGTTCAAACGACAAACCAACTGATGGTTTAGAAGGTTTCAAGCACAGGAACACCGATTGGATCTGCAATAGATACTAAATAGGTAGGTAATCCTTTTGATATTGTTTCAACAGGTTTTGGTTTTGTAGTGATGGCAGCTGATTCTACTTAGAGAGCTTTTATCTAAGCAATTAACAAAGATGGATCATAGAGGTGGTTTAGAATACTAGTTAACAATGGCGATTCACCTAATAGTCCTAAAGATTAAATAGAATTCTTTTCAGATGATAAGTGTAGCTTACCTTTTGGAATGGCTTGTATGTATAAACCTCATAATGGTAGACTTAACTATGCAAGAGGAAAAATATAAGCTATATGGGCTCATTATAACCATTTTGGATTTAATAGTGATGGTACTAAAAATGATCACACTGGAGATACTTTGATCAGTTTGGATGCAGATACAGGATATAATTAGAATGTATTTTGGGCTTGGGGTGCTTCTCATTCTTTGTATTAAAACATGCACTATGATGGAAAAAATCTGTATGTAGCTTCACTTGGAGATGCATACCCAATGAATATTAAATTTTAGGTTTGCAATATTGATACGTTTTAATGTAATACTAGTAGTACTGTTGTTTAAGGAGATATTCCTGGAAATGGTAGCGGGTAAGCAGCAGGTAGAATTGGTGGTTTTTTTAGCATTTATGGAAACAGAAATCAAAAACTATTTGTCTATTAGAGAAAGGCAAGTACAGGAGGACATGCGGGTACCACTTCAACTAACTCAATCAATGAGCTAGCTGTTATTAAGTTTGATTCTTAGTTAAATTACATTTCCTCTACAACTCTTTTAAGTGGTGATATAGCTTCTAGAGTGAATAGCATAAAATCATTAGCTTATGGAAAAAATATACTGCTTGCTTACACTGTAATTCCTTCTTCTGAATTGTAAAATTTCAATCGTTAGAATAGCAATGCTAAAGTAGATTAGGCTTTTATTGCTTTACTTAGCGGGGTAGATGGATCATTCTTAATATAGCCAACCTAGTTATCAAATTTCTAAATAAATTCATCAGATGATTGGAGAATACTGGAGAACGGAAGTATTGCTTATACATATATTGACAGCAGTAATAACTTAAATATCTACTATACTCCTTCTTTAACAATACCTAGTTATCCAAATCCTATATTGACATCAGATACTACATATGGGTTTGGTAGTTTTACTAATACTTTGGTTAATAATCCTATAAATAACTACAATAATGTTTGTGTTAAATAAGGTGATTCTAATTGGAGTACTGTAGACTTTGGAGGAAATTCATCTAATAATGGAAATAATAATAACAATAACAACAATAATAACAATAGCAGTAATAATAACAACAATAACAGTAATAATAATAACAGTAATTAAAATAACCCAAATAACTAAAATAAAGATAAGTTTGATGATTAAATTTCTTTTGACAGCATATTAAAAAGTTTTTAAATAATTTTAATTATATTAGCCTTAAACATATGATATATTTTATGTAGAATTTTAGACTTTTTTTCTGTTGAATATAAAAATAAATAATTTTTTTTAGTTAATATTTAAAATAAAGATATGAAAAAATTTGATATTATTTTTTAAAATTAAGATAATTTGAAATATTTAAAATTATTAAAAATAAAAAAAGAAAAATGATTTTTTATTTAAATTTCAAACAAAAACTCAAAAATAAATGACCTTATACATTTAATTAAAAACAAATTTTTCAGAAATTTTTATTTTTAAAAATAAATTAAAAAAAAAGATGAAGTATTTGATAATGAAATATTAGTGTATAAATTATTTTTAGATTAAAAAATTTAATGAGATATGTATTAAAGTAAATAAGGAACTTATAATATAAAATTGTTAAATAAGAATAGAATTTTAAGTTTATGTTAAAAAAAATATTAATTTAAATTTCATTTCATTTCACTTGTGAAATGAATAAACGATTCATTTAGATTTGTTGTAAAAGTATGAAAATTTAGTTTAGAATATTTTATTAAATTGCTTAAACAAATACCAATAAAAAATTTAATCAATTTATTAATTCAATATTCTTATTAATATTAATTATAAAAGAATCCACCTTATATCTTCTTCAATTCAGAAGCATGGCCACTTTCAACTATAATCCCTTAGTCTAAAACAAAAACTCTATCAAATTTTTCAATATTTTCAAGTCTATGAGTGATGACTATTAAAGTTTTTTCTTTAGAAAATTCAAATAGCTTTTAATGTAAAAGCGCATCAGTGTTAGGATCCATATTAGAAGTAGCTTCATCTAGACATATTATTTCAGAATCTCTCAAAACTATTCTTAAAAAGTTTATCATTTATTTTTACCCATTAGATAAATTTTTTCCACCTTCTTCAATTTAGAAAGATAGGTCATTTTCTGAAATTGTTTTTAAATCTCCTTGTTCTTTTGATTACAAATCCTACTAATTGCTATCAGATTAAGTTTAAATTTTTTAATTCTTTGATAGATTTAGGTGAGACTGTTAAACCAAATCTTGCACTCTAGATTATGATATGGAATTTAGAGGATCCAGATTATCTCTCAATGAAGCATTATATAAAAAGCCAAATTATGGGATGATTGACATTTAGCTTCTTAAATCTTTAAGAGTTAGGTCATTGATGTCTTTGTTGTTAACAAATATTCTACCTTTCTAAATAGGATACATTCCAAAAAGAACATTTAGAATAGAAGTTTTCCCTGAGCCAGTTCTACCACAAAAAGCAACCTTTTCTCCTTTCTTAATACTAAAAGAAACATTTTTTAATGCATAATGGACAGACTCTTCCTATATTATTTCGTTTTTATTTTAAAAAAATTGGCTATCATATGAAACAGAAACTGATTTGAATACAATGGTGTTTTTTTCTTAAACTTCTTGCTCATTTAAACTAGAATTTTATTGAGAAGTTTAATGGTTATTCCATTTTACTGATTCTAAATTTTCTTAAGTATTATCAAAATATTGCCTTATTCTTTCTACACTTACAAAATTTTATTCGCTGATGCAGAAAAAGAGCATACAATCTGCGAAGTTATTGATAAATAGAATAGAATAAGTCAATGAAAGTGCAATTATATTGTAATCAATAGAGATTTTAGCTACTATTATAACTATAACAGAGCAGGCGATAAAAGATTAAACGGCACAGCAAATAGTAAATAATCTTATGTTCATCCATACTTAAAGTTATTCAGATAGCAAAAAGCTATTTATGCTCTTGCCAAGCTTTTATAGATAAGACAAAACCATGTATCTCTCTTTTTTAAATGATCTGATTAGCATCAATCCTCTACTTGATTCTGTTATATGAGTAAGCAGCCTACCAGAATCAACTGCACTTAATCTCTTGATTTCTCTACTAGCTTCTCTATAAACCTTTTAAACAAAATAAGCTATTACCATAGCAATTAACACAAATAATATGAGCCAAGGATTTTAGATGATAATAGCAATAGGATATCTAAATTAATTTATAAAATTTATTTAAATTAGAAAATTAATAAAAAAAATAATTAATTAAATAAAATAAATACCCTAATGTGTAAGAAAATTCATCTAAAAATATTTAGATATACATAGGTAATTCGCTATCAATAATATTAATATCGTCAGATAAACGCTTCATAATTCTGCCAATAGGATTGCAGTCAAAAAATTTCATTTGGCTAAACATGATTGAGTTATTTAGTTTCCTAAATATTCTAAGGCTGCTTAATAGGCTGACAGTTATATAGAGAATTCCACCAATTGTAGCAAAACAAATAGATAATAATGTCAAAAATAAAAATTCAGATTCAAAGCTGTTAAAATGTTTATCAATAAAATGAAAAGAAAGTGATCCATTTTGATCTTTAGAAACTTGGCTTCTTAGCCAAAAATCTGTAAAAATTGAGCAGGCAGAAGGTAGCATTTCAAAAAGTAAAAATAAAATGACAAATGCTAATCCAATAGATTAGATGTAGGCTTTCCAAGTAATTAATTTAATTTCTCCTTTTTCTCTTACTTCTTCATTTTCGTCTATTTGCTATTCAACCTGTTAATTATGAAAATACAGTTAATAATAAGCTTATTTTTTATTTAAAATCGATATAAAAATTATCCATAAAAATTTTACATTTTTTTTGTCTTTTTTTAGATTAATACAATTTAGTTCGCATTGTTTGTCTACTTCGTTTTCAGGATCTTAGTTTAAATTTTGAGGAAATATTTCTTCATTAAATTAATTCTTATCAATTTTTTAAGTGCATGACTAAATGTAATCTTAAATAATATTTTAATCTTGTATTAAGTGTCCTTGGTTTATATAAATTATATTTTTATCTTAAATGGAATGTTTAAGTAAGCCATAGTGACTTATAACTAGGATTACGGTTTTTTAGTATTGTTTAATAAGATATTCTATTATGTTTTAATGAATTTTATGAGCCACGTGAATATCTAAGCTGGAGAAAATATCATCAAATAAATAAATGTCTTTGTTCTAATATAGGGCTCTGCATAATGATATTCTTTATCTTTAACCTCCACTCAGATTACTACCATCACCAGAAACAAGTTTCAAGTCACCTCCATCAAATTACTCAAAGTCAGCTTTAAGTTGGCATATTTTTATACATATGTCGTACCATTCTTGGTCATATAATTAACCAAATAAAATATTTTCTCTTACTGTTTAGCTTTGCAGCCAGTGATTTTAGGCAACATAGCCTATCATCCCATTTAAAATAATTTTGCCTTTATCTAATTAACCTTTTTTTATTTAAGATTCTTCTTTTATCAGTCTTAAATTTTGGTCTTAGCCATTGATTAGTTCTTATTAATTTGTTTTAGATGATTTATGACAATCCATTTCATTCAATATTGAGAGGAGAAAAGCAGTCTTACCAGAACCTATAAATTTTATAAAAAAAGTAAATTATAATGAATAAGAAATCTTTAAAAATATGATTTATTTACCTATTTCACCTACTACATAATTTAAAGAACCTTTTTAAATAACAAGATTATCAATTTTTAAACTAAACTAATAGTTTTTAATTTCATTTTTCGAACTTATTTTGTCATCTGTTTTTTGGTCACTCTGATAAATTTTGATATTTTTGCTTGACTAAAGAAAGTTTTGGGTTTCTGTTTATGATTAATTACTATTTTTACTGGGCCAACTGAAGGATATCTATTTTAAATGAATAGCTACATTTTACTGGCTTTCATCTACGTTTTCTTAGACTAATAAAATAAATTTATAAATTATTTTTTTGTTTTTATAACTGATTTACCTGTTTCTTCTTCTATTTCTGGTTAATTTAAAAAAAGTTTGATGCGATTGTATGAAACTCTACTTTAAGAAACTTATTCAATTGTATGAGGAATGATCCCTAAGGGATATGTCAAGCTCCCAAACAATGCTATTATTGTAAAAATGTTTGAATCTTATAGATTGTTTCCTTAATCTAAGTAGCCCTTTAAAAAAGTGAAGAGCAAAATGACTTTCAAAGACTACCAGAATATCGTTAAAATGCCATCAAGAACTTTCAAAAAGATTAAATTTTTATACTCTCTGTTTCTAATAGAGTTTATTTTTTTCAAAAAAATATATTCCCAGCTTAGATACTTAATGCTTTTAATTCCTTCGATTACATCTTTAGTTAGAATAGCTCTTTCATCTTTTATTTTGTACATCACCTCAACTGCAATCTGAAAAATAAATTAATTGATTAAATTATTTACTAAATATAATTTTACTCCAACTAGCAGACCAACAATCATATTAAATACAAAGGCACCTATTAAAATATACAACCCGTTTTTAATTGCACTTCCAATCTTGTAGTAAATAAGAAGCACAATTACAACTATAGAGACAATACTAGAAATAGTCTCGATAATTCCGTTGTATAATTGCAGCAAAGTTTCCACATCAACAGTTAATATATTATTTATGTCTGGGTTTTTTTCTGTATCATCCTAGGAATCATTATTATCGCTAAGTTTAGACCCGTTCTAATTTGAATAAATCTTCAAGCGTAGAGATTTTTAGTAGACTAAATATTAAATTGAAGTCTTACATTTCGCATGCCATTTATTTCCTTACCATTAATACTAAGTCTGAACAATAGACTTTAAAAAGTAATTTATCATAATAGCGATAAGCATGAGTGAGATGTCTAATTATTATGATGATTCTTCTTTGTAGTCTTTCAAATACAAAGTTATTTCATCTAAAATAAATATACCTAAAAAATTTAGCGCATTTGCAAGCAAAGAAAGAAGCAAACCAGTTATTAAATTCTTTCCAGTCATATGAGTGAATAATTTATATAAATCAAACTTTTCAGCTTGAAAAAGATGTTTGTTTTCTTCTTTGTAGCTCTCCAGCTTCTTTATTTATGCTGTTACTTCTGTTTCCTAAGTGATATATTCCTCTATATCGCTGCATTGAATTTATTAGTCACTTTTTAAATTTTTAACTTATTTTATGAGCCCAGTCAAACGAGTAAAGAAAATATTGTGGCTCTTTACCTGTTAAAATCGAGGCTTAATTGTATAACAAGATGGTTATTATTCCATTCTTAAACTTTCACAAATCTTACAAAAATATTTTTAATCTATTTTATTATTTTTTGTTTGGCATTTAGAATCTATTTTTATTTTAGAAATAAAGAAATTTCTTTTTCTCTTTATATTTTTTTGTCATTAATAAAAAAGCAATATTTGTAAAATATAATAAATTCTATTGAAAAAAAATACAATTAATTTATACCAAAATCAAACTATCTTATTTACTTTTATTAAACAATAAATTAATAACTAATAACTTATTTATTAATTATCTTTAAATGAATACCTTTTGTTAATCTATAAATTAGTAACTAATCATTTATTTATTAATTACTGTCTAATAAATGCTGACAAATTCACTTTTAAAGGTCTATATTTTTAAATTACAAAAGCGAAATTTTGAATACAATGAAATATTTTTTTAATACAAAACATAAAAGAATTTCAAACTTTTAAATAAACAATCTCTTGAGTTTATTTAAATTATTTTATTTTTTTATATCTTTAATTATAAAAGTAATCTGTTTTTTTGATTAAATCATATTTAAAATAAAATTTTTAACAAATATTCTTATCAATTTTGAAAATGAATTATTAGATTCTAAAGTATTTATTCATAAAATGAATCATTTTGGGTATTTCTTACTTAGATAAATTAAAAACTGCAAATTTAACTAATCCCTCAATTAAATAATACTCTGATTTATAAAATAGAATCTTTAAATAAATTAAATATTAATATAAATGCTTTTACTTTTAATTTATTTATCTTTTATCTATTTTTGAATTTCTCAATTTTTTTGCTAATAAAATAAATAGTTTGCTTCATTAGCATATGCTATAATTCATCTTAAATAGAGAATTTATTACTTTTATTAAATTTATTTAACTGAATTATAAAAATTTAGAGAGTGATTTCAAAAATATTTTAACTTAATTTGATGAGTTAGAAATATAATTAGATGTTTTTATAACTGTTTTTATGAAATTTAAATATAAAATAGATAAGTTTAATATTTTTATTATAATTTAAGATTTTCTATTGTTAAGGAAAAGATTAAAAAATAGTATCGAAAAATCAGAATAAATTGTTTCTTTATATAAAATAAAAAATTTTAAAATTGATCAGTTAATGATATAATTGAAATACAGAGACTTTAGATTAGTATCATTTTTCATTCACTACCCCTAATCTAACTTAATTTCAATCACTCTTTTTTTGAATCGGAGAAAAAATCTGAAAGAATTTTTATTAAAATACACCATAAATACTAAGATTGACATTAAATCTATATTTAAAATAAAATATGAAAATAAATTTATTTATTCTTTAATATTTTTAAGTCTAGGTTATTATTTAAATATTTAAAAATTTTATTTTTAAAAAAAGAAAAAAAGAAAAAAAGCACAAAGTAACTTTAATTAGAAAAATTGTAAATAGTAATTACTTTCCTTTTTCTTTTTTCATATCGAAAAGTAATTTATCACTTATACCTTATCTTTCTTAAAATTTCAGTTCTATTTCTTTAATCAATATACAACCAACCAATCAACCAATCAATTAAATCATATTTTAATTCAAAAATATAGAGACTTCCTTGCTTGAAATAGTAACAAATTTCAGATAACTAAAAAATAAATAAATGATTTTTGGAGATATAGCTGTATCGTAAACAAAGTAAATTCATATAAATACTATTAATTAAGGATAAATTTGATTCATACAAAATATTTAATAATCTATTAAAAGATTATTTTTATTAAGCTGTAATCAACTGATTTAAATTATAGTTGCTACTATTTTACAAATTTGAGAAAGATTCTTGTTTTATACACAAACAAAATAATTTATGAGAGATATTTAAAATTTTTTAAATGTAAGCAAAGCTGAAATAGGCAAACAAATAAAAAAATATTGTAATTAATATCAAAATATATTATCTGAGTTAATATAAATTAATAAATAAACCCATATTGGCTCTATGATATATTATCTCACATAAACACTAACATTGCTCAAAGAATGACTTAAAAAATAGAAATTTATTACCAAAATATCAAGTTTTATGAAAAGATTCAATGTTAAAATAAATATTTTTATAATGAATAATAATCAATGTTAAAGTCTTTGATCTATAAATTTTATGAGATTAATTAAAACTTGACTTAAAATTTGAAAAACTTCTAGATGTTTTAATTTCATATTAGTGTGCATGAGGCTCTTACCATTTTTCCTTATTAAACAAATTATTTAAATTTTATAGTAAGAGTCATTTCTAACTTCAATTTCTTAAAATAACTTAATGATGTGACAAAGAAATATTAAATTTCTCTTTTAGATAATTTTCCCAATCTAAACAACAGATTATTTGGCAAAACATTGATAAAAGAGGATCTATTTTATTTAATGAGAATGATTTCAAAACAAAAATAGAATATTCAGTGTTAATATATTTATGTAAGAAGTTCTTTTTCATAATAAAGTCAATTCAAAAACATATAAATTGTAAAACTTGTGTAAACAATTTTTATTAAATTTAAAATAGGAAAGAGAGAGTGTTTGTGATTAAGTGCAAGAATTTTTATATTATTTAAGACTTTTTTAATTCAAATAAAATATTTAAATTTTTGAATATCTTCCTCTAAAATCTTTTTTTAGCTCAAGCTACCTATCTATTTTGATTATTTTTGATATTTGTTTAACTATTTTAAATTTTTATTATATCTATCTTTAGTGAAATATTTCAATAAATATTTTGATTTTGTAGCTATTTAGTATGAAAAAGTATATCCATCTAATAAGAATTTTACATGCTTAACTTTACAAATTATTTAATAAATTTATCATAGACCTTTGTAAATACTTATTTAGATGCAAAATATTTAAAAAAGAGAATGTTTTTATGAAACATAATATATGTGTTTTAATAGAATTTTATTTAAAAAACTAAAATAATTTCGTTGGAAATTAGACCCATTATCTATGTGATAAAAACTTCTAAAGTTGATAACAAATGTTATTATGTATGAAATATCTGATTTAAAATGTAAAAGAAAATATCTATATTATATTATCTTATTCGTCATTTCAGATTGTAATCTGCAAGAATAAATGTGTAAGTGAAATTGAATAGTATTTGAGAAATTAACTTAGCTTAATAAATTGCTTTAGGAAATAATTAAAATAGAAAGATTTTATAATATTAATAAGTTATTGAAAATATAGTAAGCAAATTATATGAAACAAAAATTCATTCATAAATATATACATACCCGATCTAAAATTAAAAAAATTCAGTTTTGTTGAATGATTTATATTAACTCACAAATTAGTGGATTTCATGATTTAAATATTTAATTTAGTTTTTGATTTCTAAGGAAATTCTGATATAAGAAAAATGACAATAGGTACAAAAATAAGAGTTTACATTCTACATTTTTTCATTTTGATTGACGAATAAATAAGGTTTTTAGTTAGAAGAAAACTTACAAACATTTTCTCATTAATTTAATGAATGATTTAATTAGATAAATAACTTTAAATATTGTAATCATTTTTCTAGTTGATGAAATATCTTTTAAGTTATCCTTAATAAAATAAAATTATTTTTGTTTGTTCATATTTTAAAAAATAATTAAAATTCATTCCTAAAAATGTGCCAAAAATATTTTTGACATTTATCAAAATCATTCAATTCCTAAATTTATTTGAATTTATTATTGATAAATTTACGAGATTTTTATCACATGATTTTTTTGAAAAATATGATATTGTTACTAAATATTAGATTGAAATATTACTTTTAGCAATTCCCAATCAAATTAATCATTAAAGAGAGTAAACTGTAAAGTTATATCGAAAACAACACTATTATTTTCCTAATCTGAGGAATTTTTAATTTTGAAGGAGATTATAGCATTTTTTAGTGAAAAAATACATTATAAAAATCTACTAGGTTATTTGTATGCAAAATTTTCAAAATAAATTCTGAAAATATAATTTAAAATAGAAATTAATAATTAAAATAATAAATTTAAATAAATAATTATCTTATTTTTTGAAATAAATTTATTTTATTAACAAAATTTTAAGTAATTTGGTGTTTTATTATAATTTCAAAGTTAGTTTAATAATTTATTAAACTTTAGATGATACTTTTAAATAAAATAATTAAGCAAGCAAACAATCTTGTACTTAGTAACCATCTTCCTTATCATTTAAAAATGTAAAAAGCACTTGAAATTATTTAAAATAGTGGTCAATAAAAATTAATAAATAAAATTCAGTCAAATCAATCGAATTTTTAGAAATCAATAAGTTTGAATATTTTAATTACAGTTACTCATATTTAATTATTTATTCTTAGATATTTTAATATTAAGCGCTTAACTTATTTTTTTTATTATTTTTTAGTAAAAAACTCAAAGAATATAAAAAAAATGAAGCAAACAAATCACTTTTAAGCTTAAAAAATATTCAGGATGATTAATAACTACCTTTTTTAGCACATTAAGTAGATATTAGTTAAAAAAATAACTTTTCATCAAGAAATTAAATGTAAATAAAAATATTAATTTTCCAGACTTTAATTAATTTTGGTGTAAAAATTATATATTTTTGTCTTTATCAAATGATTTTTGAAAATTTACTAAAATCATACATAAAATATTAGGCTTATTATTAGTGATTTTACTAAAATATCAGTAAAAGCAAAATTAAAATAATGCGTTATTAAGTTAGTTATTTAATAGAATAATGTAAATTGGTGTTTGTAAATTTGATTAGAATTAATTAAAATTCACAAGTCTAAGATTAAAAGAGTAGCAAATATAAATCTAGTGAAAAGCAATAATATATTTATTTCGACTACTAGTACTTTCCTTTATTTATTTGAGAGGTTTGTTGACAATATTAAATTATTTATTTATAAAATTTAAATTCATCAAAATTAATGTGCTAAAAAATAGCAATCAGTAAAATTGAAATTCAAATAAGCCAATTTTCAAAG